GCGTGATTACATTACCACGTCTCACTATCTTATTTTGACAGTGCTACCTTTACAAGTTCCGGAGCTGTCAAACGAGAGTGTGTCAACACTAGAGTCGATCAACAACTTATGCCATGGTCACATTTGCTCAAATTGTCAACACCGATGCCCGGTCGATGAGTACGAGTTCAAATCTGAATGCAATTTTGAACAAAATACTCATCGGACGGGAGCCGGTGTCAACGTAAATATAGTCCATCAGTAAATATAGTCCGGGGTTATATTGTATACCAATACAGAAAATATGGTCCGGTTAAGACAATACACCCTAGGACACCAAGTCCGGGGGACCTGGTGTCCTGGGGTGTATGGTCCCACGGACCATATATTCAGGGAGACTGTATTTACTCTGATAATCGGAGCACATCTGACCACGGCATTACACTGAACTATCACACAATTTTATTTTCTATTGTAGTACACACCAGGCTATACTGGCGGATCTAGGGGGGGGCAGAAAAAAATTCTGGGCCCAAAATTATGTAAGGCCTCAAAAATGGGCCTTTTTATGTGAGATTTCACGAGATGTTTTAGCAAAACGTCTATACACAAGTGATTGCCATTTTGAATCTTTGCAACGTATATCGAAAGTGCGATAACCCTGGTTTGAGAGATTTTCATAATATGATGTTTTGCAAAACGAGGATACGATGAGGGGGTAATTATGTATACAACATGGCAAAAATAAGTTTTCGATGCGGGGTACATGTAATTAAAATATCTAAATGAATAATAATAACGTCCGGCGAGTGGCTGTTTGTGGTTGGCGGTCGGCGTCTGTAACAAAGTCCTACAATTTCAAAAAACTCAGAGTTGTACTAAAACCATTGTCAGAATCTCTTATTAGCTTTTACCTTCTCAAGGTCATTATAGGTCAAAAAGGTGTTTCCCAACTCGAATTTCATAAAAGTAGTTGTCGCCAATTGAACTGCATAATATAAAAACATGCATCAGTCACATTTACCTCTAGCTTGTTTGTCTTTCTTTTTCCTTTATTAAATATTGATGTTATATATAATAGGAATTATTTTTCTAATGCCCTATTAGGGCCAAACGTACATCCAACAATAAAAATAAATCAAAGTAAAAATATTTAAAACGTTCTTCAAATTACATAATTTATAAGCTGTTACCTTGATCTCTACCAATCATGTCAGCTATTTCTTTAAAAATGATCCTCTCACTAGTCAAAATAAAAATTGTCTTATGATGATCACTCATATTTTTAATGTAATGTTGTCTGATATTCTTTAATTGTTTACATTTAAACAAAAATGGGTTACATTTTTCACTACTACGGATCTATACATATTTTACAAAATCGCCCATTTAAATCAATAATTGGTCTCGTGTATCGACCTCTCTCAGCTGGGAGGCAAGACCAAAAAATCAATTGTTATTTCAAGGTTGTGGTTGCTAATAATAGTCTAGCGAGCTGTCATTGATATTTTAGCCCTGATACACACAAACGCCGTTCTGAAATCACGTACAGTACATTGAGAGAATGTTACCGGATGGAAAGGACGATTCTCGGTTTGGAGAATAGTCTCCTGGGCTAATAATTTTTTCATGAAAAATATAGAAATATTACCCAAATTAAACTATGAGTATTCAAAAGAGGACATTTAAATCTACAAGATGTAAAAATAACAAATTGGTCTGAAGCAGGGATAACGCTCAATTAGACCGATTCAATAAAATACAAGTCTCGATTTGGGGAAAGAAGTTCATCAGTGTACTGCGCTAATATTTTTTGCGAAAAATTTAGAAATATTACCCAATTTAAATTATGACTATTCAAAAGAAGACATTCAAATCTATATTATGTAAAAAATCAAATTTGTCCGAAGCAGGGATAATGCTCATTTAGATTGATGAACTTCGTTCTCCAAACCGAGAATCGTCCTTTTGAGTATGATTCTCTTTGAGAATGGTACCAATCTGTTGGAAAACTGAGCTGTCCAGTACTGTGTGGTATTGCTGCAGATTGGCTGTATAAAGCAGAAGTTTTAACAAGTGTGGTTTTTAAATCATGAATATGTAGTGCCTTGTAAGTAAAACATGGCATTTGTCTCAGGGGCAGTGGCGTAGCTACGTGTACGCCAAGTACGCCCAGGCGTACTCTCAAATTTTAAGAAAAAATAAAATTTACCTGATTAATTGTGATGAAAAATAAATATTTTACCAAGATTCCAGGCAATCTGCCAAATTTGAACGTTGGGAACTTGTTCGACGGATTCGAAACAGATCTTGAGGCTGGAGATGTACAAGAGCTTCAAAATGAAGTAACACGGTGGAGCCATAAATGACAACAAGTTGCTCTAGGGAACATCCCAGCAACTCTTATTGACACTATTCAACAGACCCCCCCCCCCCCAGCCTCTTTACCCCGATGTCTACACAGATAACAGTTGTTGCCTTAGTTAGCTAATAATATAACCTAATGTAACCTAATGTCATATGCTTTTATAATTAAGTTGCTGGACTATTATTGATTTTATATGTTGGCATTAGTGCTTTAGTTAATGCACCTTTAGTCATAAATCAGAGCAGAATACATAGCATTCCTTTGCCATTGCTGATTCAGTCTTGTGTAATCCTTGTGTAACCTCTTGTGTAACCCCTTGCTTTATTATAACTTCCAATCAATGTGCTAGAATATAGCTTTGCAAACCCTTTGCCCAAATAAGGAAACTCCTGTTTCATAACTAACCAATCACAACGCAATGCATACTAATATCCCTGTTAAGCTTTGGTCATGCTTGTAAGCTGAAGAATTAAGTTTAGTCTGGGTCTGGTCCTGGTCTCCTGAAGTGTGAAGTACAAATAAAGAAACCAAAAGAACAACCTTGCGTCTTGTTAGACAACACTACAATTGCTGAACAATAGACGACAACAGTGGCGGATCCAGGAACCAACAAGTGGGGGGGGGGCCCAAATTTGAGGTCCGAGAAAAAAAATTTGGGCCCCTAAAACCGAATAGTGGGCCCAAATTTTGAAAATTTGAGGCCCATTTTTTCAAAATTGGGCCTAAAATTAAAAAAATAAGGCCTTAGAAGGCCCATAATGACCAAAAGGCCCACTTTTTGGGGCCTTAGGCCTAAAATTTTTTTGGGCCCAACTTTTTTTTCTGGGCCAACCTTAGGGGGGGGGGCCGGGCCCCATGGGCCCCCCCCCCCGAATCCGCCATAGAGATTGTTAAGATCCGAAATGGAGTTGAAACGGTCGTGTAACTGTTCTTTTATTGTTAATCATCTTGTGAGCTAGATAAAAACAAACACAGAAAAATAATAATATCTCATGGAGAATGACCACAAAAGCTTAAAACAATGAGCCTCATACATACAGTTTTAGGTAGCCTAAAAAATAAAATCGCCTTGATAGACGGCTTCGATCGCCGATGGCATGATTATATAGAATCTGTCTATTTTGTTTCCCGAATATTATCTGTTAATACAGTTAATTCAATCCCTTTAAAAAGCTATGTCAAAATGATCAAACAATACATATTTCCTTCATTGAATTAAGAGTGTTTAGTGTGTCCCCTATCTTCTGAACACCCGGGATCTTCCTTTTTTATGGAACCATCGTTTTGTTAATTTTGATAAAACCGGGAAATCATACGGGCGTACACTCGCAAAATGGGCTAGCTACGCCTCTGAGGGGTGCTCCATTCGGGCTGATAAATAGTACCCCGAACAGGCTGAATGATGCAGTCATGTTTTTACTCTTTATTTGTAATGGAACAACCATTCTTACTGGAATTTTCCAGGTTATGATTTTGACAGGCTTTTTTCAAAAACACTTCACTGTCAATAAAATACAGGTTTTTGCTTGAACAATTGAACTTTTGACGTCATTTCAAATATTGCCTGGCTATTGAATTTTCGGCCGCCGAAAGTCCTTCCAGATGTATCTGTTGCCATATTGATTATGGCTGATTATTGTTGTTATTCATTTTAATTATATTCAATATTATTACAGTGCATTAGGCCAATAAAAAACTTGTTGCTCTGGGTCTGGTTTGTGAAGTGTTCCCTAGATTAAGCCCAGATAGAGGAGGTCAATCTTCTTGTCAAAGACACGAGTTCAACAAGATCGAACTGTTCAATACTGTCCAAAATCACTGTTCCACAAGTAGTTACTTTGACGAAACGTCAATGTAACAAAATGGATGAAATTCCTGGATACGAGTTTTTTGTTTTCTCGTTGGGATTTTATTTTTTGGTAATTTTTTTACCTCTGTTAATGGCAGGCAAAATTCAGCCTAAAAGGGGAAGTATATTAAACGGTTATAGGGAACGTATGTTAATGTTAGGTCAAATATCGCTGCACTATAGTGTGCTACCAGCTACTTTATTAGACGTCCTAGTATTTGTATTCTATTTTGTTTACCACCAATGAACCTCTTGGGTATGTACCGTATATATATACGGTCGTAATTAAAATGGCAGATAGACCCAGAAGTACCTCCTTGAAGGAGCCCTGTGTTCTTTTATGTGCACTTATACATAGACATACAAGTACACACCACAGCCTTTTGTACGAGTTGCGGTCCACTCAGTCAAACACCCTGAAGTACTTCACGCAAACAAGCAAATTTAGTCTTGCCTGAACCGGGGATCGAATCCGGGACCTATTGCGTAAGAGGTACCTGCGCTACCGCTGAGCTACACGGGTGGACTGTGATTTCATACCATGGACTATATTGCAAATATAGAGTAAAAACACAACTGTATCATTCAACCTGTCCGGGGTAGTAAATAAACATGTACTTTTTAACACATATTTGTTCTTCTATCAATTCAATATCATTTTATTCTCATTGACATTTTCACATTTCTTTGTATAAATAAATGGAAGCAAATGAAAGGCACAAGTTGAGAGAATTCTAATAATGTGTCCATGTGAAAAAATGTAATGGGAAATGTAACAATTTTAGTGCTTTTTTGATTTTTACGTTTAATTGACATTATTTTTCAATGTGCATGAATTTGGGAATTTTTGCATCTTTAAACCTTTTATTACCACCTTTTTTGAATAGAAACCACAACTCTTTTTCCAGATGTGATTTGCAATAGATCTTTCCGAATAAATTCCGTTGTCTTTTGACATACTAAACGATTGTGCTAATGTTTTGCAATAAAGAATTCCTTATTTTGAAAAACTTCTTAGAAACTTGTTTGTAAACAATGCTACATACAAGCATGACATCATTAGACCATTATATCATAGCTTCTTTGGTTGTAGGGTTAATTGGAAAGTTATTTTGCGCATGTTCAATGATGGTTGGCTAAATACAACATTTCACACACTCTTCCTTCGATGCAGTTTATAAGAATAACAAGTCTCTAATTTTCATCTTCCAAGTTTCCAAGGCGGTAATGTCACGCAATGTTAGTTGCCTCTCGTAGGAGTTTCTCCGACATTGTCACCGTAAATATCCATTTCAGATGGCGTCCAAGCAAAATCACAAATCGCCAACTGCAACATATAGGCTAATAACATGAGATCTCTTCACTCGCACAGATTGTAAAATCAAATTGTATTTTATAGTCACACGTTGTTAATACAAGTCATTTCGAGGCTTTGTTTTTATAATAAAAGTCATTTAGAGTTTAAAGCAATGTTAAGGCTCCTAAGGATAAATGCATATCACTTAAATATTAGAAATCCATTTACTTATAGATTCAAGTCAGTTAGAGCCTTTGGTATAATTACCAGTTTTTTTACCAGGTGGCTAATTCGGGGAAATAACATGGCAGGGTATTACACAGTTCCCTTAAACTTGAATATTCATGATCATCAGTTTTAGTGGTTCACTTTTTATATTACCCTTTTGTATCTGATTGTTATACAATTTGAAATATGTCCAGTAAAAGAAAATATTATCTGCCCAACATAAGAAAAGATATTTCACTTTTAGTGATTTTACAACATGGTGTCTATGGGGAATCTCCCCCGGCCCGACCTAGAAGTCACATTTTCAAAGTAAATTAATTTTTCAAAGTTGAAAAACTCTTTTCAAAACCACATTTCGAGATGTAACACTGTGCAAAAAGCCAAATATAGTAGCGTATAAGTGGCAAACTATTTGTGAATATAGTTCAGTATGTCCTCACTATATTGTATTCGGTATGGGAAACAAACTATTCTTGCCTCAGAAGCGGAACATTTAGTATTGGTGGTATATACTCTACGATACTAAATATCGTTTGAACTATTCTCCGATTATTCTTAAGAGCCAGGAATAGTAGGATATAAGTACATAGAAAAGATGAGTATAGTATGTATTACGTAATCCAAAAACAAACTATACGCCTCTTATACGCGAGGCTATATATTCTTTGATGTGCCTTAATTTGCTTGGAGTTAATCCTATTTTAGTTTTCAATAAGCGCTAATGTAAACAAATAAAATCATGCAATTCACTTAAGAAAGCTTAATCAAACTTAATGTCTGAGATCTCATTTAAAATTTTATGATGCTGAAGTATATGATTTTAAATGAACTTTAAATATATTTTAAAAATGTAAGTCAATACAAAAAGTGGAATGAAACATTTGGGTATATTTCAAATATAAATCAGTAAATTATTTATTCTCCGTTCTGAGTAAAACAAGCGCATATTAATTTGAAGTTTGTTTTTAGTCTTACCAAAAATCAGCAGCAATTTCGGTGTAGTTAAAATTAAAATGAGGTAAAGCGTATCATGATATCTTTGTTTTTTTGTCAGTTTTAAATTGAGACAATCCTGACTTTCCTATGAAAAATTAGACCCTAGTCAGGGAGGGGGTTCGGAGGTTTAGAGTGAAGCCATCTGGAGGAAAATTAATTGTTGTATAATTATGTGGCAGAAGTTGATGATGATGATGCATTTCTAAATTTTAAAAAGAAAACAATATTCAAATGTATGAAATACAATAAGGAATCAGTATAAAATCCCTGGGATTAAATATTATGAAGGATGAGGGATTGCGCTGAACGAAAACTTATTTTTGTATGCAAATCATTAGGTTACATGTACAATTTATAACATATATAATAGTACGGATCAACCTTATCAACAAGTGTCACAAAACGATACAGAACAAAACACAAAGTTTAAGTATAAAATATGCATATATTTCAATAAATTTGTCAATTACATAGCATACAGTAATTACAGAGTACATTATATTTTACAATTTCATGAATAAAATGGTTTAAAAGGTTTAACTTGGCTCATGAGTATGTTTCAATTTGAGACATAGTATGTGATGTGCTGTAGGTTCATTAGTATATTAAAAGGTTCAATTTGGCGCATTAGTATAGTTCAATTTGGCGCGTTATTTATGATGTTCATAATGCCCCAAATTGAACTATGCTAACACGCCAAATTGAACTTTTTGATATACTGTAAAACGGGTAAATTTGACACCGGGAAATTTTAGCGATTTTTCAATATTAGGGGGTTTTAGCGCGGGAAATTTTAGCGAAATGAAGATTAATCTTTAAAAAATCAAATTAGCGAAATGCATTAGAAATTTCATCATTTATGGCAGAAGAATGAATAACGGACATGACAGAGGAATTATCAAAATGTAAGACTTCTAACGCACATGGTATTGGTCCAAACTGGATGGATGGCTATTTATCCTTCAGACATTGAAAGAAACATACGATTTAAAAATATTTACCTTTTTCAAATTACAAACCGGAAGTCGAGCACTGAACGAAAAGCTCCTTAAACACTAGTATTCATGTAGTTTCCCGGGAATTTGCATATTTTAGCGCCCGGTTTATTTTAACCCCGGTTTATTTTAGCGAATTGAATTTTTAGCGAAACTATAGCGATCGCTAACAATCGCTAACAATTACCCCTCGCTAACAATACCCGTTTTACAGTACTATTGAACTGAGAGCACATCACATACTAAGTCCCAAATTGAAACATACTCATGAGCCAAGTGTAACCTTTCAATGTAAGGATGAACTTTGAACATCATAAAAAACGCGCCAAATTGATAAATACTAACGCGCCAAATTGAACTTTTTAAAATACTTGTACTTGGAGCACATCACATACTATGTCCAAAATTGAAACATACTCTCATGAGCCAAGTTCAGCCTTTCATTGTAAGGATTTACTTTGAACATCATAAATAATGCGCCAAATTGAACTACACTAATGCACCAAATTGAGCTTTTTAATATATCAATGAAGTTTGAGCACATCACATACTATGTCCCAAATTGAAACATACTCATGAGCCAAGTTTAACCTTTAAATGTAAGGATGAACTTTAAACATCATAAATAAATTGATGAAGTTTGAGCACATCACATACTATGTCCAAAATTGAAACATACTCTCATGAGCCAAGTTCAACCTTTCAATGTAAGGATTTACTTTGAACATCACAAATAATGCGCCAAATTGAACTACACGAATGCGCCAAATTGAGCTTTTTAATATATTGAAGAAGTTTGAGCACATCACATACTATGTCCCAAATTGAAACATACTCATGAGCCAAGTTTAACCTTTCAATGTAAGGATGTACTTTGAACATCATAAATAATGCGCCAAATTGAACTATACTAATGTGCCGAATTGAGCTTTTTAATATATTGATGAAGTTAGAGCACATCACATACTATGGCCCAAATTGAATCATACTCATGAGCCAATTTTAACCTTTCAATGTAAGGATGTACTTTGAACATCATAAATAATGCGCCAAATTGAACGATACTAATGCGCCAAATTGAACTTTTTAATATACTGAATATGTACTTGAAGCACATCACATACTATATCCCAAATTGAAACATACTCATGAGTCAAGTTTAACCTTTCATTGTAAGGATGTACTTTGAACATCATAAATAATGCGCCAAATTGAACTATACTAATGCGCCAAATTGAACTTTTTAATATACTGATGTACTTGGAGCACATCACATACTATGTCCCAAATTGAAACATACTCATGAGCCAAGTTTAACCTTTCAATGTAAGGATGTACTTTGAACATCATAAATAATGCGCCAAATTGAACTATACTAATGTGCCAAATTGAACTTTTTAATATACTGATGAACTTACAGCACATCACATACTATGTCCCAAATTGAAACATACTCATGAGCCAAGTTTAACCTTTCAATGTAAGGATGTACTTTGAACATCATAAATAACGCGCCAAATTGAACTATGATAATGCGCCAAATTGAACTTTTTAATATACTGAATATGTACTTGAAGCACATCACATACTATATCCCAAATTGAAACATACTCATGAGCCAAGTTGAACCTTTCAATGTAAGGATGTACTTTGAACATCATAAATAACGCGCCAAATTGAACTATGATCATGCGCCAAATTGAACTTACTGACGAACTTAGAGCATATAACATACTCTTTCCCAAATTGAAACATACTCATGAGCCAAGTTTAACCTTTCAATATAATGATGTATTTTGAACATCAAAAATAACGCGCCAAATTGAACTTTACCAATGCGCCAAATTGAACTTTTTAATATACTGATGAACTTAGAGCATGTCACAGACTATTCTCAAGATGAAACATACTCATAAGCCAAGTTTAACCTTTCAATACAAGGATGAACTTTGAACATAATAAATAGCACGCCAAATTGATCTATACTAACGCGCCAAATTGAACTTTTTAAAATACTGATGTACTTGGAGCACATGACATACTATGCCCCAAATTGAAACATACTCATGAGCCAAGTTTAATCTTTTACTGTAAGGATGCACTTTGAACATTATAAATAATGCGCCAAATTGAACTGAACATGTATACTAATGCGCTAAATTGAACTTTTTAATATACTGATGTACCTGGAGCACATCACATACTATGTCTCAAATTGAAACATACTCATCAGCCTAGTTTAACCTTTCACTGTTTCTTTCGACATATGGGTAATAACTGTGGATTAAAGGTGAAGAAAAGTCATTTATCAAAAATCAAAAAATTAACTTTTCAATGAGTTAATCGATTAATTCCAAATTTTAACACAATATTAATCATAGCAAGAGAGACACTAAAGAATCAAATGAATTAGAAAAACTTAATTTGCAAATTATTTTTCTGTGGAAATCAGAACCATCAGCTGTAGATATTAATCTTTTAACTCATAACAAACGGATTAGTTATCAGTGAACAAAACTCATCTCATGGAAATTAAATACTTGGGGATTAAAGTTTTTTTATATTGCTCTGACATGTCAATATATGTATGAGATGGTGAAAAATTGCATGATCTTGAAAGAATTGTTGGTCAAGGGGAGGGGGTCGCTAGGTACGGGCCTGTATAAAATGCGTAATGTATTTAGCTGAATATTGAGCATTTCTGTGTCAAGATTGTTTTTTTGTGGCTGACAAAGTGAATACAGGTGGTTGTGCCTGTGTAATATAAGAGGGGGATTTAAATGTCGTTTATTGTAACCTTGATGTGACAGAGAAACAATAGAGTAAACATGTGAGGAAAACTTATTAATGAAGAATTAACAAATTATTTTTCCAATGAATTGATCGATTGAATCCAAATTTTAACACAATGTTAATCATAACATGGGGGATAATATACAATCAAATAAATATAAAAAACTTAATTTGCAAATTATTTTTTTGTGGAACTTAGAATCGTTGGCTGTAGGAAATTAATCCATTGACTCTAACAAACAGATTAGTTATCAGTGTTAACGAAACTTATTCTATAGAAATTGAATAATTAGGGATTAAAGTCTTACTTATCATATTGCTCTGATATAGCTGTATGTCCATACTGTATGTTATTTGCATAAGTTTGTTCTTCCATGCACCGATTTGCTCAAAACATAATCATCAATTTGTCAGATGAAACATTTGCAATAAATGTAAAATGCGCCCGTTTCTTTATTTGCATTATTACATTATCAACTAAACATACCGAATCTTGCAGCTTTTGTATATGTATGTATATTGAAACGGAAAACAAAGAATGATTAATAAAACCAGTTGTTATAAACAGAAATGGTCCAATTCTAATAGAAACAATTGTATTGCACGGGCTAATCTCCCGGGGCTAATCTCTGTTGTTTATCACGGGTGTTTATCTCAGATATCATATTGATAAAAGAAAACATATGAATTGTGAAATGTGAAAGAATACAAGTTTTAACTTTGTTTTAATATGGCTTATAGTACTTGTATCATTTACATAAAGCATGTTATTTCCTAATTTATTATAAGTGATTTGTCAGATGAAATCTGAGCAATATTTCTGGTATATTACAGGCTCGTAATAAGTTTGAGCTCAGGGGGTCGATTTTCAAAACGTACCAAGGGGGTCAAAATTGATAATGTTGGCCAAAAAATTAACTTTTCAATGGATTGATCGATTTAATTCCAAATTTAACACAATCTTAATCATAACTCGAGGGACATTATACAATCAAATAAATATGTAAAAACTTAATTTGCAAATAATTTTTTGAGAAATAAGAACCATCAGCTGTAGAAATTAATCCGAACAAACGGATTAATTAGTGTGAATGAAACTCATTTCATAGGAATGGAATACTTAGGGATTAACGGCTCAAAAATAAAAGCATATAATCCGGTTTTGATTGCAAATGCCAACATATTATTTGCTCCTGACTAGAATATTATTCTATATTGTATGGCATTATATGTTGTTCCCTTTAAATAATACACGAATAATATTGTTAAAGAAAAATTAATTTTTAAAAATAGTTATTATATCTTATTCCCCTATAGTACAGAAAATAACTGCCTACCATACAGGAAAAAATATTCTCTACGATTCCCTCTTATTGCAACTATATTGAACATTTTATTCTATATTATTTTTACTTCAATACCAAGTGAATTGAAAAATGTAACTTTCCACAGACTTAATGAAATGAATCCAAAATTTAACACGGTGTTAATTATAATTCGACTGTCATTGTCCAATTTAGTAAAAGTAAAAAGCTTAATTTATAAATGACTTTTTGATGGAAATTAGAACCCTCAGAAATGACCAGATTAATCTGAACAAGCGAGTTAATTAGCATTGAAAACAAAATACATTCAATGCTGGACTTTGCTTTTAATCTGTTAAAACAACAAACTCGGGAACTGAAGTTATTACGTAATATGGCGTATAAGACGCGTATAGTTTGTTTTGAGGTAGAATAAGAGAAGAATAAGTCAAGTATAGTTTGATATAGTCTGTTTTTTATTTAATATAAGTTGTTTTTCACCGCATATAGTAGGTTTGATTCCTACTTTTAGGCGTATAAGTGGAAAATAGTTCAGTAAAGATATACACTCTGCAATGATATATGCAACTTATTTTAGTTTATATGGGCGTACCAGAGAGTATATCAGGACTTATATTAAAGTGTTCCGTTTTTAGGAATATGGGAGAAACTATTCTCGCCCATATTTTAGGTGAAATTCAAACTATATGGGGGTTATTCTAAAAAATAGTTTGCTATAGTACAAACTATATTTGGCTTTTTTCACAGTGTAATCTAAAACTAATCAACTGAACTATACAGTACACACCTGCCACAACTTTAACTGATTGAAATGGTTTTTTCGACAAATCAAGCAAACAAGATACAAGGCTTTCTTCAAAAACCAAGAAATAGGAATATTGTTAAAATTCAGAGGAATTTAAAATACCCATTATACAGTAACTATAACCCAATCAAAAGGGAATATTTCACAAATGTGGCTAATAACTGTAAATATTACTCACATGGGCAAGGTTTGCATTGATGTTGAAGACTAAGGGGGAATCAGTTCCTTGGAACACAACTGGAAAGAATAGATCAGTGCGGTTTAATATTAGGCCATTCAATGTTAAGTATATGTTAGATATATTGTTCATTCGAACATTACTGTATTCACGCCTTCTATAATCTGTAAACAAAATCAACATTTCACCCGGGGCATATTCGCGAAGAATACCCCTGGTTATACTTGTAATATGTGACGTCATAACGGGGGGTCGTAGTAATGGCGGGCCATAATGAATATTCGGAACACTTTGGTGAGTTTTCATGTTGGAAACGTAATACAGACCTCAGAGCAGGGGTAATATCGTCGAATACACCCCTTAGGGCTAGGCCCAAAAGCTTTCGAACCCCCTACTCCCTTTCGTCATTCGGGGTACAGAAAACGTTCGTGCCTAGCCCTGCGGATTGTATTCGACAATATTAATTACCCCTACTCTTCGGTTACATAGCATAGTCTAAGCCGTGCATAACTCATAAGCTGGAACAGTTTATTTGAAGATGATATGATGAATGTATGACATTTAGTGTGCAAATCCATTTTTAATCAGGCACACATATAAGGATATATGGTTTCAAATGGTCAAGATTAATGATATAACTTTATTACCCTCTGTGAAGAAACAAGGTGCATTTACCAATCGTATCTTTTTCATTTTTTGTTATTATCATACAAAACATTTAGAGGTTTAATGTATGTTTACTTTGACCAAATGGAGAAAATTTCAAAGAATTTCGTAAATATGGTAAAAAGTTAGAGAGGATTGAATAGAACGACTCCCAAAATCATGAGTGTGAGTTTTTACTGTAAATTGACGTCACAAATATGGGAAATCCTATGATGATACCAAGCAATGTGCTCAAGAACACAATCTTCTGAGACATGAAGTAAAATTGTTAGTTACGTTTAGAGGAATACACCATTTTAAAGTTTTCAATCCAATAACACTTTGTGAAAAATGTCAGCTATATAATAAAAGTCAGATAATTACAACCATTTTGCGATAAAATTTGAGGTAATATAATTTCAGATTCAGATTCAAAATTACGATGAGGAAAAATGGCTTCACTAACTATACTGTATGTGGCATATAAGCTACACTGTATATTAAATGATAAGGCATAACAGATATATTGTACGTGAAATGATGAGGAAAATAGCTTCACTGTAAGCGAAATGATGAGGAAAAATAGATTCACTGTAGGTGAAAAACTGTCAGAATATTGTCGAGACAAAAAGCTACACGTACTGTAGGTGAAATAATGAACTTCCGGTTTGCATTCAACTATTATGTTCTAAATCTGATGCTTCTGTCATCGAATTTTTAAGGGTAGCAAACTTACATGCATTTGGTATGGGTGCGACAGCGCCATCTTTGTTTACTTGAAGGCCCTCTGGTGAGAGTTTTATAACAACTTGTCCTAAAGAACCTTTCTGAAACAAACGTAAAATCATGAAAAATCCAGTTCACTATACTGTATATATATACCCTCTGTAATGAAAAAAGGTGCATGGTCCTTTATCAGTCATAACATTTTCAAAATTTTGTATAATATTACTAAACTGTCGGAGGCACATACACATGTATTTTATGATTTTAACATGTTAACTTGTAACTTTCTATAATCTAAAAAGAAAGATCACTTATTCTTGACCCAACGAAATATAAAGAATAGGTCTAATTAGCCAAATACATGTCACAAATTAATCATATATTATGGCTTTTAAAATCAAATAACAAATGGTTCCCTTTTAATGGTAAGGATAACACAGTTTAAATCAAACCATCCAACCAAATCAAACTTATTAAAGCGGCAACAAAAATTAACAAAACAGTTTAAATCAAACTTATATTTTAAAGTGGCATCAAAGATTTATTACACCGTTTGAATCAAACTGATTAAAGTGGCAATAACGATTACAGACTAGTAAAATGTTAAAAGCAATAAAGGCACGTTTCCTTCACAATCCAAATTTTTTTCTTCAATATCACCTGATTAAATATGGATGTTATAAAAATGTCCTAATTAATCTAAGTATTGTTTAATTATTGCAAGACAACTTTGTAAGTAACGTCAGAACTATTTGACCCCCAAAACACAGGCACGATAAGGAATATTGTGAGCAAAAAAATAAAGTAAAAACTGAGATAAATTTTCCCTCATTATATCTTTGTCATACCATTAAATACAAATACTATACAAAGTCTTGCATAATTGTTTCAGAGTGACACTAAAAATAAAATGTTATTCAAGTCTCCGGTTTCCAATTAAGTTTCATATCATTCTAATAGAAATGACATTTAAAAGATAATTGCTGAAATATACTCTAAGCCAATTTAATGTAATCTTATACTGTACACAGATTTTTTTTTTTTTTTTTATTATTATTAATTTATTGCAATCACTTTTATATCAGTGGCACATAGTTTAACTAGTGCAGCAGTTAAAACATACAATACATGTGTGTAAGTACAATTCTAAAGCAGAGCTAAAAACATTTACAACATAAGACATAAAAACAAAACTAAAATATTTGCAATACATTAATTCGTTGGTGCTACATATATGTTTTTGATAAAATACTTTGAGCATGCATCAAAAATATAACCTTGTTCTTGACCCAAGATAGCATAGGCCGCATCCCCAAGCACCCATTCTAAACCATTATTGGGAATGCATGTCTTAAAATAATTATAAATGTGTGGAAGTCTATTCTCAATGCTATTATAAAATATAAACCTTTCCTCTTTAAACTTTGGGCAGGTAAAAAATCGATGTTCAGGAGTTTCTTTACAGCTCATATTACAAAAAGAACACGTTCCATCACTTATACCCCATCTCTCAAGATCAATGGCGAGACCAAAGCATCCTGATCTTGCCTTGAATTTAAGTTTTTGAGCATAGAAGTCAAAATCAGTTTTAAGGTATTTTTCCATAAGTGTGTTTCTTTTAATATTACTATATACTGTAAGTGACTTTTTCTGGTTTATCGAGTCAAAAAATGTATTGCGTAACAAATCATTAGATATTTTCAAATATGACGAGTACCAATCTGTGTCCTCTCTGTATATTACATCGTCTAAACCATGGTTGGTCAAAATATCTTTAATGCTAGAAAAATAAGACCAGGTGGCTGTATTTCCCTTTTTAAAGTCCTCAAACATATAATTTAAAATATTCTTGTGGAGCCCTGCTTTAAGAGAGCTCTTTAAATAGATAAAATAGTCAATTTTTCTTTTTTCTATGACATTACATATAGGCCTCCATCCCAAGTCACCGAACAGGGCCTCCTTAGCAGGATTACACTTGAGTTGTAATAGCGATTTTCCTATCTTATATTGAAAGGTAGCTAGTGTTTTGCAATTTGATTTGTTCAATACGAAGGTACTACAACCATGCAAAATTGCAGGTACAAACATTGAATTATATATAGTATCACCAAAGCTTATGCGCTTTGCATTACAGTGTTTACTCAGAGTTGAACACAACATGCCTTGCATATGTTTAGCTTTTGGCTTAAGGAAGGCATCTATGTGATAGGTGTCCTTTAATGTCCTATCAAAGTAGACCCCCAGATATTTATAGTTTTGAACTTCAGTTAGTTGAAGATCACCAAGATGCCAAATTTTTTCTTTATTGATGCGCTTACCTATCACCATTACTTTTGACTTTTTTGGGCTATATTTAACGCCCCATTTTAGTGAAAATTTATTTGCAATTTGCAACATTTTGTTCAATTCCCCTTCAGATTCGGCCAAAAGGACGATATCATCTGCAAAAAGCAGAGCAGGGACATTTTCGTTATTAAAAGGTATTCCTGTGTTTTCTGAATGTAGCATCTCAATTAATTCTGTCATTATGAAGGAAAAAAGCATAGGGGATAAGCAGCAGCCCTGTTTCAGGCCTGTGGGAGCACTATACCAGTCACTCTCAGGGTTGTTACCTGTGATTAGAGTGTCATTTTCAAAATTCAGATTTTTCATAAGTTCATTATCAAAAAAAATCACAGATTTCTACAATTCGCTCTGTTGTATGTGCTTTGTTCACAGTACGATCATGAGCACTCCTTGCCCTTTTCTTAAAATACCATTTGGTTCCGACAAATCACTTTATGTTAATCCTTTGAAAATTAATGGACATTCTTTTTTAAATTCTAATTAGGCTAAACAGGAAATTTTGTATCCGCATTTCATTAGATAGGTTAAATCACAAATCTTTTACTAGACATTGAAAAAAATTGTAAGGGAATTACGAGGTTTATCCTACACTTAGTATACTAAATGTATAATAACATTAAAAAATAAATTTGATATTTATTGGCAAAATGAATAACCGGAGGATATCGTAACGATATACTCCGGGCGTAGGATATCGTGACGATATACTCCGGAAAACCGAATATGCGGAGGATATTGTGACGATATACTCCGCTTGTTGATTTCCCACCAAATTGACTCTATTTGGCATGAAATTCATTTTGCAATGATATTATACATTTAGTACACTTCTTGTAAGTGTAGGATAATAAGAACATCCTATCCTATATGTAATAAGAACATCCTATCCTATAATTGAAAAAAATAGTAAGGGAATTACGAGGATTATTTTATATCTTCTGTTTTTAGCTGCCACTTTTAAGTTTTATATGTATTTCCATGAACATGTTAGTATCCATATCAAAGAGATGCTCAGGTGTGGCACGTTTGATGCATCAGTCACATTTGATCTACGGCAGCCGTATGGCGTCCAAAGCTTCCCAAAATCAAGAGAATTGGCAGCATAACATATAGGGATAAGCAGTACGGTGTAGATTTTTTAAATCGATTTTGTGAAGCTACGACCTCCGTGCGTCCACCGTAAAGCAAATGTGACTGATTCCTTCTTTGAATCATCTAGAATAAGTATATGTTACCTCTCCTGTTGCCATGACAGTGACGTCATTTGCTATATCCCATAATGTCACAGTGACTGTACCTCTCCTGCATTGGAGCTCGAATGTTGGCTAGAAATATAATTACAATGCAATATAATACGACATGATACCTAATGATATCTTATAAGAGCAGTAAAAAATCCATGTGTTTTAAGAGTCCTGAAGCAATATTGTACACAAACTCCCACACTCCCAGGAACCCTGATACCCCCTCCCAGACTCACCCTATACTAACCTGTATATTTCCTCCAACATCCACGTCACCATTTGTAATGACTCCATTGATATCGCTACTATCAATCAAGAATGCCAATGTGAATTCCTGACCGTACCAATTATGTATAAAGATGGGTAATTTAGCGGGTGTAGGTCCACGGACAAACAGACCAATGTGGTCATCAGGGCCCGCAGGACCACCATCGAGAATCTTGCTGCTCCCAGGGTATATCGGTACATCATGATTGGCGTCGATCCAGTCGGAAAATGACCAGTAGAGGCACCCAGGACATTCGACCGCGTCTAAGAAATATTTTTAATCCATACAAAATGCAAATTAGTATAGTATGAGGTGAGGCCCAGGGTGAGGCACTTGTGTTTTCCAGGAATTGAAGAAATATTTTACGAGGGAAGAATCATGTTCAATAACATTATCATAAACCGCTATGTAGGGTTGTGCATATATAAACAGAATATATTGAAGCAAATCGACTCTCTAGAAAAATCAGATCCAAAACGATTCTGGGAATTGGTTCAACAATTGCGATCTAATGAACATAACAATAATAAAACTAGTAACATTGATGCCGACTCATGGCTTAAATATTTTTCTGATCTGAATAAAAAACCTACATCCACATGTCGAGAATTTGAAAATGAAATCGAGTCAGAACTTAATACATTAAAAATGAAAAACATCCTTATAGCACAACTAGATAGAGAAATATGTGGAGATGAAATATCCAAAACTTTGAGAGACTTGAAAAGCAAAAAATCAGGGGCAAATGATACAATCTCAAATGAAATGCTCAGATATAGTGGCAGTACTCTGATTAAACCCATGTCTAAGCTTTTCAATCTCATTCTAAAATCAACATATTATCCTCTTATATGGTCATCTGGCGATATAGTTCCTCTTTACAAGAAGGGTGATGAGAGCGATCCTCAAAACTATAGAGGGATTACTTTAACAAGCCTATTGGGTAAAGTTTTTACTTCAATTCTAAATTCAAGATTAGCACAATGGCTATCGGAGAATAAGATTTTATGCAAAAGTCAAATAGGATTTTGTAAAGAGCGGCGAACAACTGATCACATAATTGTTCTTAATTGTATTATTAAGTCCATGAGAGCAATAAAAAAGCCGTTATCTGCATGTTTTGTTGATCTTAAACGTGCATTTGACACAGTATGGCGACAAGGATTATTCTATAAACTTCATAAAATAGGCTTAAGTAGTCGCTTTATTAGTGTTATCGACCATATGTATGTGAATACTGAATGCAGAGTCAAGCTAAAAGGTGGTTTTACAGAACACTTTCCCAGTAATGTAGGGACTAGACAAGGCTGTAACTTGAGTCCGATGTTATTTAATATATATCTTAATGATGTTCCATCTCTGTTTAACTATGTAAATTTTGATCCTTATATTCTAGACGGAAACAAAATCAACACATTGATGTATGCCGATGATATAGTATTGTTTAGTAAGACAGCGAAAGGATTACAGCTGATGCTGAACAAATTTGAAAAATATTGTAATACATGGAAATTAAATGTTAACATTAACAAAACCAAAGTGGTGATATTTAATGAAACTAAAAAGAAAAATATCTTTAAATTTGGTAATAGCATAGTTACACAGTGTGCAAACTATTGTTATTTGGGTGTAACATTTCATCAAAACGGTAATTTTAAATTTGCATACAATGTTTTGTACTCAAAAGCACTAAAGGCTCAATATGCAGTCAAAAATGCTTTTTATAATAGTAATGTGAAATCTCAGATCAAATTATTTGACACTATATGCTTCTGATGTTTTGGCTACAGATATTGTAAAGTTAAAAGACAAATCCTTGAAGGACGTACTTTTAAATAATTTATTTCCGTTTGAGAAGTTACACAATAGATATTGCAAACAGGTATTACGCGTCAATAATAACTGCAGTAACGTATCAGCTAAGGCTGAATTGGGCAGATACCCGCTGCTCATTAATATATTAGTTAGTACTCTAAAATTTTGGTTTCACTTGAAAAAGTCACCAACTGATTCATATTCATTTATTTTTAGTAAACATGAGGAAGACTCACATGAATCAGGGCATTGGAGCTTCTTTTCATTTATCACTCGGATTTTGTCAATATCCAATAAAAATATTGATATACAAAAATTCGATACATGTGATCAAGTCAAAATTGATAATTTAATTAAATCTACAATGACAAATTTAGAAAAAGAATACAAAAGCGCGTTTATGCAAGACATCAATAGACCAAATGATGCTCCAGGTAAATTCAGAAGCTATAAACTAGTAAAACATGCATATAAAAGAGAAAGTTATCTTAATTTACAGAACTCCACCTATAGACAATCTATTTCTAAGGTACGGTTATCGATGCATAACTTCCCAATTGAACGAGGTCGATACTTCAAAGTAGAAAAATCGAAACGATTTTGTTTCTTTTGTAATTCAAAAAATACAATAGGTGATGAAGAACACGTTCTTTTTTGTTGTTCTCAATCAGAACTAAAACTAGCTCGATCTCGATATCTCAGTAAAATAAAAAGTATAAACAATAGTTTTTCTCATTTTAATACAAGTAGTCTATTTCTATACTCCCTGTTAGCGCACGATGATGCAATTAATGAAATAATTGGTGATTATTTTACAAGAGTTCACAATATTACCAAAGAGTTGTTAAACAAAACTGATGTGAAATCATTTTATGCTGTTTAGTAAAGTACTTAGTGATTGTTAAAATTCACCCTGGGTATAGTCTGTCACGTGACTTCATGGATGACGTGTGCGCGAGTGATTCGCATTTTCTTTCGCTTGAGGTTTGTAATCACACTTTTTACATGTTTTAAGATTTTGTATCTCTGTGAAACTTGTCCCGTACCATCAATGTCTGAAGACGATCTAATTCACCAAATATCTCATCCAAGCGTGTCCCGGTTAAAGAGAAATTCGCACTTTTGTGTCTCGCAAAATGACGTGTGCGCGAGTAAATCGAATTTTACGAAGGATGGGTGCGCGAGTCTAAAATATTTTTATTCACTTGAGACAATTCTGCAAGCTAAGGCAGAATACAACTCACGTGACATTTGTTTTTGTCATCTTAAAGTAGTATGTTAAAGAATAGTTTGCTATTTTGTAGATGTTTCATGTATGGCACATACATGTCTACGTTTAATGACAATAAATGTTTTGAAATAGCTTGTAGGGCTGTCCGGCATTGCAGGTGAATAAAAATTTGAACCAAAAATTGAATTAAATTTTTGGCGGTCTCATAAAACCGGCAGCATATTCATTTATTGACATCCCATACAAGGGGGGGGTCAGAGTTGTTATGTGGTTACTCGGCATCCGCCACGATCAGAACCATGTAAGGAATAGTAAGGAGAAGCCCATGATACCAAGTAATATCAAATAATTATAGGAGCTTCTAACTTCTTCCGCATCCCCACCCTTGGTATACGCAGCTGACGAAATGGACCGGTGCGGTATGGGTCAAAAGCTGGACCTGTACGGGTGAACTTTGGGGGTACTTAAAATCATTCGGAGGGATCATATATTTCAACTTAGATACGAAGAAGTCAATATTGAGCAAGTTATAGCTGTTTTAAATTCAAATAAAACCGTTAACCCGTACCGGTCCAGCTTTTGACCCGTACCGATCCATTTTGTCAGCTGCGTATACCAAGGGTGGGGATGCGGAAGAAGTTAGAAGCTCCTATAATTATTTGATATTACTTGGTATCATGGGCTTCCCCTTACTATTCCTTACATGGTTCTGATCGTGGCGGATGCCGAGTAACCACATAACAACTCTGACCCCCCCCCCTTGTATGGGATGTCAATAAATGAATATGCTGCCGGTTTTATGAGACCACCAAAAATTTAATTCAATTTTTGGTTCAAATTTTAATTCACCTGCAATGCCGGACAGCCCTACAAGCTATTTCAAAACATTTATTGTCATTAAACGTAGACATGTATGTGCCATACATGAAACATCTACAAAATAGCAAACTATTCTTTAACATACTACTTTAAGATGACAAAAACAAATGTCACGTGAGTTGTATTCTGCCTTAGCTTGCAGAATTGTCTCAAGTGAATAAAAATATTTTAGACTCGCGCACCCATCCTTCGTAAAATTCGATTTACTCGCGCACACGTCATTTTGCGAGACACAAAAGTGCGAATTTCTCTTTAACCGGGACACGCTTGGATGAGATATTTGGTGAATTAGATCGTCTTCAGACATTGATGGTACGGGACAAGTTTCGCAGAGATACAAAATCTTAAAACATGTAAAAAGTGTGATTACAAACCTCAAGCGAAAGAAAATGCGAATCACTCGCGCACACGTCATCCATGAAGTCACGTGACAGACTATACCCAGGGTGAAATTAGATTGTAAGAATTGTTTTGCCATGCATGTACATGAATGTTTTATTTGTTATTTGCTTTATTGGACTTATCTTGATGTACATTACATGTTCAAGAGACCAATAAACTTATTATATATTATAATAAGGAATTTCGATGAGTTTCAAGAGTATGGTACATTTTGTAATGAAACATTTTGTAATGAGGCAAAATGTATTTTGAGGCAACAACTTTTATGAGGAACAGTAATATTCTGCAATTCTGTGCCGGGTAAAATTTATAGATTAAACATTTATGAAACAAAATATAAATGACGCATGGCCTTGTTGTGATGCATCATTATGTTATGATATAATTACCTGTTTCGGAATCCTCCAGGCAAATACATTCAGTCAAATCAAACTCTCTGTTGCTAGGACACGTTATTACATCAGTGTGTCTCACTGACGTATCAGCTCTATCTGGGAAGTGTCTGTAAGTCGATGTGTCCAGTTTTTCATAGACTATGTTACCATAGCAACACTGGCCTAAATAAGGATTTCAAACTGAATATCTTTCGTAAAGCAGATGTAAGAATAAATGATGGAGTAATGGCTGAACTTTTAAAGAATTTGAAATAACCCAAATCTGCATTCTGTGACAGTTAAACCAATATATCGAATGCCATTTGATCTGACGAAAACTTTTCTTTGTACAGAAGTGTTTTTTACAGTGTTCAAAACTACATAGTTCTGAGGAATTGGATTCTTTTGGAAACAGTTATATAAGAAGAGGTGTTTTCTCAGACAATTTAATGTATTTGTTCAGATGAAATACTGTATAAGTGATATTTAATTTGAGTGGTTAATTTGCCGAATGTTCAAATTTTATCATTTTTCAAATGACAAGAAACGTCCCATTGGATAACATTATAAAGATAACATTACCGATATTTAATTTTCCGAAATTTTCAGAAATTAGGCAATTATATAGGCAAATTAAATGATTGGGCAAAATTACCACTTTTACAGTATGTGAAACATTTACTCTCTAAGAAAATAGTTCTAACACTTACTAGCAGGGTCAAAAGTACCACAGGAATCATTTGAAGGGGCTGGTATCAACTCACCTTGATAGGAAAACAAATAAGATATTACAGTGGCAAATGTTCTACTAGAATCTACTTCTGTGGGACAAAAGTACTACCGATGAAACTGGGGTACCATGGTAACTCTCCTAGTAACAGTAAAACCTTTAATATTATCATGAGTACTGTCCTAAGGAAGAACAAATCGTGATATATTTACATGGCAACTGTCCTAGAATAAAACATGTTACCATGGCAAACTCCCTATTGCGTAGAGTAAAACACGAATGACTTATATGGCAACTGCCCTGTCTTTCAATGTAAAGAAATGTAAAGAAATGTATAAGTTTTTATCATGACACTGACTAAATCAAATATAACCATGGCAACTATAAAGTAAAACAAGAGATATTTCTATAACAACTACCCCGTTTTAAAAAGTTAAACATAAATATATTACCTTGGCAACAGAAGAAAGAATTCTAAAATAAAGTAAAATGTTACCATGGCAACTGGGATCACTTCCGGGTACATTGTTGGCAAAATCGCAAAGGTTCCTTGTACGATCCCAGACCAAAGGGCGCATACATTTGCGCTGAACCGCCACAAAATCATTCAGTTTCACATGACCATCGACACATTGGTGATAGGAGCAGTCATCATCTCCAAAGTCAGCTGACCAAAAGTACCCGGATGTACATAGTGAGAAATCGGGTACATCCACTCCTATAAAATGACATAGATAACACATTCTCGTGTGATATTACAATCAGAGTGTGATAGAGATCAACCCCCACCCCTTTTGTAAATGTTCAGGCTTACTCTTGGTTAAACATGAAAATTCCACATAATGATGTAATAAATATGATGTTACGGGTAGTTACCAATACCGTTACCAAGGCCCGTAGCCAGAGGGGGAGCTGGGGGAGCGGAAGCCCCCTGGCCAGAAATTCTTTCAAAATCATGCAGTTTTTCACCATTCTGAGAATTTTTCGCATGATTTTTAGCCAAGATTGTGAAAAAGCTCCCCCCCCCCTGGAAAAAGCTCCCCCTCCTGGTAAAGGCTGGCTACGGGCAAGATATGTACATTTCCTCAAAGAAACTAAACATTTTTTATGAAAATGTGGTATTACTTTAATTGACTGAAGGCGACATTCTTATCGACTTACGTGCATGGTTTGAATCAACGGGGTGACTATTGAAGGTAATCGTATGACGACAAGACTCTTACATGTCTTAAAAGTGAAATTAATATTTTTTCTTACTGGTGAGTTTCTCCTGAGCCGATGCAGCAGTAATCAATATATATACACCAGAACCAAATCCTGGAATGAAGAAGTCGGAACTCATTGGGAATTAAATAATTCTTGATGATATATAGATAATATACAGACATTCAGAAACTGGTGACCAAAGTTTTTTTTATATGTCAGGTGCAAATGCCCCCATGAATGTGGGGGTGTTTTGCCTAATTCTTATTTTTGACATTTAGTGATTAACAACACAAATGTTAGCCATTCGAAATCTTGTAGTTGGACAAAATGGTGAACAATTTCAAGACCTACATTTAAATATAAATGCTGAATAATTGCTGATATGAAGCATTGTTTCCAGTCATCGATCACTCTATTATATTGGGAAAGTGTTTTGTAAAAGAAAACAAGAGAATCGGTAATAGGAAAATGCTGATATAAGACCTAATTTTCATCTTCAATTCATCAAGGTATCCAACAAAAACAAAAAGGTGGACAATAGGTAAAATTTCAAGATCCAGAAATAAATGCACGAAAAAAGGCAGATATGAAGCATTGTTTCCAGTAATCAATGTCTTATTACATTGGTAAAAGTTTTTCGTAAAACAAGAGAATTGGTAAGGAAACTACTGACATAGTCCTGATTTTCATCTTCAATTCATCAATATCCAACTTCACAATTTGGAATAGGTTTCAGCTCTGGGTAAGGTTTGCCTTATCAATTTCAAAGTCAAAAATTTATAAAAAAAAGAAAACCTAATATCCTAACTTTTGTATATTTCAGATAGTAATGTATAATGTGCAGCAAAGCTGTGGCCTTTTGTAATTTAGGGAGTCTCAGCCATGTTAATTTTTCCGAAAATAACATGGCAGAGAAGTATCAAAATATAAGAGGACTCAGATATGATAGCTAAACTACAAAACAAACTAAATAAAATAAAAAATAAAAATAATAATAATAATCTCGGATAATCATTCAAAATATTTCCAGGCGCATCATTTTAAAAATGACTGTTGCCACGTCATCTGCAGAAACAATAAAATATACTTACATGATTATATATGCTTGTACCCTTGGACCTCGTCTGCTACATGACCTTAAGTCGTGAAGACCTTAGGTGTGAAATACAGGGACCATCACATCAACTTCCATAATCCCAATAATATCTACTGTGAGTATTCTCCTACTTCAATGAGGGGTTTCAAGCCAAAAAATGCTCAGATTATTTGCAATTACTGCACATAAACACTGACAGGGTAGTTGATCTCTCTCTTGGTCGCAAGAAATAGGATCGTGATGTTTTAATATGTATTAAAAGATTTGTAGCGAAGGCCCCTGTATGTAGTTACTATTTGCAATGTCTCATTATTTTGAAACAAATGTCAAATTATAGTGACAAATGACACCAAGCTTCGTCATGTAAGGGATAACGCAACCAAATGCAATAACATGCATTTAAATGATCTGTCTTTTAGAGAAAATTAAGATTTGTTGCCATGTTTTGATTTCATGCCATCATACCAAAGTATGCCCTTTGCAGTTGTAACATGGCCATTTTCATACTTTCATATTTCTCACTTTTCATATTGATCAATCCTTTATATTTCACTTATTATCAATATAACAGGTCCCTAGGTTACTATTGTATCAGTGCCAAATGTTTTAATCCTCTTGTTTGCCATGCCTTGCCTTTTCACTTTCTTTTGTTTCAAACCAGTTTTTAGCTTTTCATGTTGTATGTTCAATGTTGTTTAATTTTGTATTGTGTCACTTCCATGTATGGAAAACACACTCACTCACTTGAGTTTGGGTGTTGGCCCAGCCTCAGTTATTGCTTATACATAGACTGTACAGAACACGATTTTTGAAGAATTGAAATAGATTTGTTTTTATCTTATTTTATATTACTTTTCTGTTGACTTTTATATTATTGCCACCCACGGCCTTAGCCCCGGACATTACATTGGTACCAGGAGTGGGGTTGGTGAGCAACAAGTGGGGTTGGTGAGCGAAGAAGTTGGGTAGGTGAAGGCAACAAAGTTTTACTGGACTAACAATCATACTTTTTATAATGGTATTTACAACAAAATGGAATACCATATCGTTTGTGAAGCGATGTTGGTTTTGTAAAATCTTCAAACCACACCAAGCGACAATGTGAACTATTCAAAAATGCCAGGTATTTTTGTTCAAAATGCCAAATATATGGACACCGTGATAGAGATCACCAGGAATTCCCGACAATCCAGCAAAATTTCGTGAGATCAACCAAATCTGCTTCGACACAAACAAAACTTTTAGAATCAAATGAGCGATCAAAGCAACATAATAAATATTGCCAAACAGCAACTGTGAACATGGATATTTATAAATACAACATGGACAACTACAAACGTATAGAGAGCGAATTATTTGGACAGAAGAATGGAAATCGAATATACAAAGAACGCATCCAGACCCTACAATCACAGAACAATAACATTTCAGCTGTGATTAAAGCTCAAGACGTACATATCCAAGAATTACAAAAGGACTTACAGGAATATTCTGATCGCACAACTAGGGATGATCAAACCATCTCCAAACTGAAATCTGATCTGACGGATTCTGAGGTGAGAATAAATGTATTGACAGCTTCCTGTGATAAACATCTAAATACAATCATTGATATCAAAAATCAACTCCAGGAACAATCTGAAACAATGGAAATCTACGAAACCGTGATAAAAACGCAGCAGGAAAAATTGGATCAAATTATTACTCGAACGGGAACAACTGAAACCACAACAATATGGAAACAATTAGGAGAACATCTATTTTAGAAAGGAAAGACACCAAATCATCACAAAGCCATACTATTTGATGTTTGATTTGAGGATATGCTTCGTTTTGACCTACAACTACAAGAGATGTGTATTAACTTCTGCAACAGATGCATATTTACTATAATATGATAATTTGGAACAACTTTTATCTTCACTGATCTTCAATTGACTGTCATGACATCAGATATACATATATCGTTAGTGACTAGCCTTTTACCACAATGTGCCAATCAAACCTATTGAGTAATCAATCTTCATGGTGTATTTGTCTTAAATTGATGTTTATTTATTAGCCAGTTATGGTGTTCATTTACTGCCTAGGGAGTTCAAGCCTTATGGTGCAAAGTAACTAGCCTTTATGGTGCTAAAGCCTATTATGGTGCATATATTAAAGCCTTTAATGGTGTATACTAGCCTTTTATGGTGTATGAGACGCCTTTATGGTGTATATTAGCCTTTAATGGTGTTCATTAGCCTTTTATGGTGTGTAATAAGCCTTTTATGGTGTGCAATAGCCTGTATGGTGTAAATTAGCCTTTTATGATGTGCATTCGCCTATATGGTGTTATATTTTGCCTTACATGGTGTTAATTAAGCCTAAAATGATTTTACTTAATATGTTTTTTGGTACTTCAATGGCTTTTCATTTAACTAGTCAACATTTTATACTTTAGAATTATGTTATACTTTGCTTTATAATGTTGACCATTGTGGATGTTATTAGGGGAGGAATATGCTCATTTTTATACAGATGTGTTACATAATTTTAAATTGCTACAAATCTTTCCTTTATGTATTTTGTATTTATGACCTACTTAAGGTAAATGCGGGACGCATTTAGACGTTGTCCGCGTGGATGTAACATGGCCATTTTCATACTTTCATATTTCTCACTTTTCATATTGATCAATCCTTTATATTTCACTTATTATCAATATAACAGGTCCCTAGGTTACTATTGTATAAGTGCCAAATGTTTTAATCCTCTTGTTTGCCATGCCTTGCCTTTTCACTTTCTTTTGTTTCAAACCAGTTTTTAGCTTTTCATGTTGTATGTTCAATGTTGTTTAATTTTGTATTGTGTCACTTCCATGTATGGAAAACACACTCACTCACTTGAGTTTGGGTGTTGGCCCAGCCTCAGTTATTGCTTATACATAGACTGTACAGAACACGATTTTTGAAGAATTGAAATAGATTTGTTTTTATCTTATTTTATATTACTTTTCTGTTGACTTTTATATTATTGCCACCCACGGCCTTAGCCCCGGACATTACACAGTGAAAAAAGTTTGAATCAAAACTCCCCATGAACATCAAAAGAGTTCACCTGTTGAATACGCCATCTATAGAAAATATCAAAAATTGTCATTCTTATTTTGACAGATGGAGGAAGGTCAAATAGTGGAATGGGTGATAGGTGTTTTTCGTGCGATGAAGTCTAAAAATTTTAATTGGTATAATCATTTAGGCCACTTAAAACTACATTTATTCATGAATTTTCAGTTTCCAATTTTTCAGCGTTAAGCGGCTGTTCCATTTTACCCCCCCTGAAAAACCAAAAGAGGGTATGTATACAAATGCAGCCATTTCACCATTATAATTCGAGCAATTCTATTGAAAGTTCATGGGAACATACATTGTATAATAGACATGTATCATGCAAAATATGAGTGTGAAAGCTCTACTTGTTGCCATGGTAACCACTCGTTGAATTATAAAAATGACTGAAAAGGGCAATTTTCGTACATTCGGATTGCAGTAAACTGAACTTATCTTGTTGTAAGAGATTGATTGATCAGTCTAAATATGCTTAAAAACTTCCCAGATGTGTATGGTATAAATCTAGGGGAAAAGTAAATTTTTGGGATGTTTCTTATATTTTACATGATTTTTTTAATATGCATACCCCTATTTGGGATCCATATGTGCTTTCCTTGTCTGTAATGTCAAAAACATAGATATCTTCAATATTTCAAGTTGAATCCTTTCTTATCTTATATTATACTGGAAAGCTAAATGCATATTAATGAGATCCATGGTCAGGATTAATGTAATATTTGTATCTGTTGCTATGATGACAACATATAACTATTAATTTTTCGCACATGTTCCATGTTATATCGTGAAGACAGCAGATTTCATCATTTCAGGAATATTTGTCTTGCATCATTACATACACAATACACAGAGTAAAAGGTCTAAAGAGGTACTATATCTAGTATACTTAGATGGGGTTTGTCATGACTGACTCTTCAAAATTGAGGTTTTAAAAAAGCACATGTAATGAAAAATCAGAAAATGGAACTTGTTACAAGATTAAGTTGAAAACAGGTAAAATAAACTAATAACATTTATGACATATTATTCTCTTACATCTGAAGAAATTGAAAATACATTAAACATAAATTTTCAGAATAGTTTACCATGAAATTAAGATTAAACTGAAAAAGTAAATGTCAAGCAATATATATTTCAGGGAAGCAATGAGTGAACGAGTCTTGAGAAAGCGTGTTGCACCTGCATCAGAGGCTCGCGGTGAGACATCTAGGCCAACATATCTGTTTTCCGATTCCAAATGTATTTCTGAAATACAATAAGAAGGAATATCTTACACAATGTACTACAAAAATAACTAGAGCAACAATTAATCATGCTATGCATATAAGAGAGGATTGGAACTTAATTCGCAAAATTGGCGGACGTGATCTTCTGGCTGGAGAGGCTCATTTCCATCAGGCTTGCAAGCGCTCATATTGTGAACCTAAAATTGTTGGAAAACCTGAGGTAGATGACTATAGTGATTTAATTGAAAAAACTACAGGGACAAATGTCAAATTTGATGAAAAAGAACCAGAGGAATCCAATGACCCATCATTCACCTACATATGTGAAAGGATATCCGAAGACATTATGCTTAGGAAGAATGTTGGTTCTCTTAATAACATTCACAAACAATATCAGACCCATAAACAAGAAAATGATCCCGTGAATTATCAAAAGGACTATCGCAGAAGTAGATTGAAATCTCGCTTGCAGTCTCATTATGGTAATAGAATAGTTTTACAGCCTGGTAAAAAATGAGAAAGACATTTTGATTTATAGCTCAAGTCTAACTGTATCAGATATTGCCGACTCAGCTGCAATGGTAAATCAGACAAATGAACATGGATGCCTGCAGAAAGCAGCACATTATTTAAGAGACAAGATAATTGCTGCTAGTGAAAACGTCTCTCCAACAAACTGGCCACCATCTGCTTCAGAATTATCAGCAAGTATGTTCCACACTATTCCACCAGAGTTGCAATATTTTCTTATACTTCTGCTATCAGGCAATGACACAAAAATGAACAATACAAAATATAAACGCTTGACTCATACCATAGGGCAAGACATTTGCTATGGTGCAACAAATGGATCATTCAAAATGCCAAAACATTACTTGCTTGCGATAGCTATTCATCATCTTACAGGGAGTGCAGAGTTGATCACACTACTGAATCATCATGGCTACTGCACCAGTTACACAGAGGTCCTAGAAATAGAGACTGCAATATGTGAAGAGATTAAACAGCAAGTGTCATCCTTACCACCATCAATATCCATTTTGTCAAACCAAGTTCTGATGTATTGCTTCGATAATTTTGATCTCAATGAGCAGACTCCCAGTGGTTCAGGAACTACACATTCTACCCATGGCATTGTCATTCAAGAACAGAAATCTGTGAATCCTCACTGTCATCAAGACACAGCTATGGAGGTTGACGCACATACAGAGTCTAGTGAAAGTCAAGGTCAGCTGGAGCCAATGGATGATGATGGTGGTGATATTTCTTCAGAATCTCAAGGTGGTGTGCCAATCCTTCTACCTCAGTCAGATGAACATGTTGATGAAATTGTTGATTCTAGTGCTCAGCCTCCATCACTTGAACCAACTAAGGAACGCTACCCTAATGCAAGGAGGTCAGTTAAACTGACAGAGGACATATTACCACCATGTTATGCAGTTAACAAAGCAGAACCACCTAAAGGGTTTGGTGTCTTCACAATCTCAGAGGAAAGTGAGGTGGCATTAGCTAATGCTTCTAGAAGTGATCTGATGTGGATTTTGTGTCGTCATCAACAGTCAGAAAATCAGAGTGTCCCTAGCTGGGCAGGTTGGGTGTCACTAACAGGCAAGGGCTCAACTAATGTACCAGTTCAGTCTGTTATAGACTATCTTCCTCCAATAAACCACCCAATAACTGAGAATGCTACGGTTCAAGAGTGCCTGAATATTGCTATGCAAGGAACAGCTGAGGTGGGCCAACATTACACATTAGTAACATTTGATCTGGCAGCAGCCAAAAAGGCCCTGAACATTGTATGGCAATTTCAAAAATACTGTACTGTGATTGTAATGTTAGGTGTTTTCCATTCGCTGTGTTCTTATTTCTGCACCATTGGAAAATTTGTGAGGGGCTCTGGTTTTGAAGAGATACTGCTTGAATCAGAAATTTGTGCTAGTGGATCATTAGATGCAGTCCTTAATGGAAAAAATTACAACAGAAGCCTGAGAGTTCACAAGATAATGTATGAAGCACTGGAACGTATGTTGTTTGAGAAATTCCAGCAGGAACACCAACTAAATCCAGCTGCAAAGAAGAAACTTCAAGATCTAGCTGAAAACCTAAATGAAGAGCTTCTGCAGCAATCCCTCTCTGATAAAGATGTTAGTGAATTCTGTCAAAAATTCTTCCAGTTCAAAATGGACATCAGACAAGGGAAAATGGGTAAAACTCCACAGTTCTGGGTCCAGTACAGTGATATGGTTGGCACTGCACTTCAGTATATCCGTGCCACAAAGGAAAATGATCTCAACCTCCACATTGGAGCACACTCAGCCATGAATAGTGCATTCTTTGCCATGGACCATCAAAATTATGCCAGATTTCACTGTTACCAATTTCTCACCCTTCTCAACCTAGATAAGACACATCCTGGTGCAACAGAGCTCATCTCAAACAATGGATTTTCTGTTTCAAGATCAGATGTATCATGCTCACGAAATCCTGTGGACATTACCATAGAACAAACTATCAATTGCAATGCAAAATCTAAAGGTGGTATTGTTGGTTTCAGTAGGAACAAGGGTGCATATCAGCGCTGGTGCGTTACACGAACACAGAGAGGACTGTATACAGAGGCTGCCCTTGATATAGCTGGAATGAGAGACTCAGACGATATCCTCCATAGAGACAACTCATTAGCCCAAGTAACAACATCTGAAGCTGGTGTAAAGTCAGTAATGCAGGCATTCAAAAGCTTCATCAACCCATTTGACATCAATGAGCCTGCTCTTCACTGTGTATCATCTGGTTTGCCAGCCCCAGCAGAAGTTCAAGGGCTGACTGATGCATTACAGAAAGGTTACCAAGCAAGTGAACAATTCATTGATAGACTGAGAGTTCAAAACTCAGAACTTAAGTTTCACGATAGCATAAAAAAGATGAAAGTTGCAACATTTGCAAATTCTGCTGTGACCAAGAAGATGACAACTTCAAAAAATAAGGTTGTTGAAATCAGCGCCACAAGAAACCTATTTGGCCAACTACTTAATGTATCTCAAAACAGTGAGATTAGTCTTGAGAGGCTCATGGGATATTGCATGGGTCCTGTTCCTTGGCCTCTCGCCCTACCTGATGGTTCTCTAGCAAAAACACCAAAGTCAACACTCATTCATGAGCTGCAAGGGAATGACAGTATTCCATCTCCCCCATCTGAATCAATAACTATCTTGGATGGAAATATGAGTTTCTATCAAATGGAAAAAATAGCACCAATATTTGGTAAAGTTGCAAGAGACATATTCACACACTTACCAAAATCCAAGAACGTACATTTTGTAACCGATTCCTACCATGAAAACTCCATTAAAGATCTTGAGAGAAACAAAAGGGGGCAGTCAGATCCAATTATCCTGAAGGGAGCCCACACTAAAACCCCATCAAAATCATGGAATAACTTCCTAACAAGTGGCAAAAATAAAGAGGAACTTATCAAGTTCCTGTTACGTGAATGGCAAACCAAGAAGTATGCCAGTGATCTGAAGGGAAGAAACATCTACTTCTCAGACCAAGAGAATACAATTCTACTCACAAGTGATGGTGAAAAGGTTTATACTTCCCCAGTAAATGACCTAGCATCTAACCAAGAAGAAGCAGATACAAAGATGATTCTTCACATGCTGTTCGCTGCAAGACATGGAAAACCAGTAATTGTTCGATCCCTTGATACTGATGTCTTTCTACTACTCCTAAGGTATGCTGACAGGGTCGATGTACCGATATATTTTGACACTGGAAAAGGAGATGGACGTCGCCTCCTTGACATCCAAGCAATAGCCTCCCGCCTGGGCCAGCAACTTTGTGAAGCACTGCCCAGCTTCCATGCTTTCACGGGGTGCGATAGCACTAGTGCATTCATTCGCAGAGGCAAGATAAAGCCACTCAAAATTCTTACCAGAGGTCCTCCAGATGAAAGGAATCGTTTCCTGAAACTGTTTACTACAATGGGAAATACTGTTGAGGTTACCAACCAAATGGAATCTACTGCTGAGGACTATGTTTGCAAAATGTACTCTAGAAAAACCAAGCTAAGGAACATCAACAAACTTCGCTATGAACTATTTCAACAAAGATATTCCCCCAAGAAATCAGGAGATGCTTTGACTTACGATGGAACTGACTTGTCACTGTTACCCCCCTGTAGAGACTCTATAATTCAAAAGTTGAAAAGGAGTAACTATCAAAGCTATATCTGGAAACAAACACACATTGCTGTCAGTGAACTCCCAAATGCCACGTTGCATGGCTGGCAACTTGATACCAATGGTAACATTGAGCCACAATGGTCTAGTTTACCCGTCTTACCGAAAGACCTTGTAGATCTGCTTGATGAGGTTGCTGAGCCTATTGTACTTGAAGATGCAGACTTCTTGGGAAGTGTTGAGGGTGGGGATGTTCTAGACAGCTAGAAAAGAAAAATGACTATAAACATGTTAAACTTCAAAACAATGCTAATGGAGGTAAATTTGTACTCTCATACTGTTTTGTGACATTGTCCATTTAATATGTGGTAACCATAGCAACAGTTACAAAAAATTTTCTGAAGTGTATCTTAGCTCCTCACTGTAGATTGAGTTTTCCTATTAATTATACAGTGAAATATTGGTGATAGCCTACAGAGTATACTATAAGAAACTCATTTTGACATTTTGATAGACATTGGAGAAATAATCACTTTCTCATCTTGAATGAGGGTATGAGTGTTAAAAAAATCATGTAAAATATAAGAAACATCCCAAAAATTTACTTTTCCCCTAGATTTGTACCATACACATCTGGGAAGTTTTTAAGCATATTTAGACTGATCAATCAATCTCTTACAACAAGATAAGTTCAGTTTACTGCAATCCGAATGTACGAAAATCGCCCTTTTTCAGTCATTTTTATAATTCAACGAGTGGTTACCATGGCAACAAGTAGAGCTTTCACACTCATATTTTGCATGATACATGTCTATTATACAATGTATGTTCCCATGAACTTTCGATAGAATTGCTAGAATAATAATGGTGAAATGGCTGCATTTGTACACATACCCCTCTATTGGTTTTTCAGGGGGGGGTAAAATGGAACAGTCGCTTAACGCTGAAAAATTGGAAACTGAAAATTCATGAATGGATGGAGCTTTAGGTGGCCTAAATGATTATAACAATTAAAATTTTTAGACTACATCGCACAAAAAACACCTATCACCCATTCCACTAAAAGAGGTCAAAACTTTTAAAAGAAAATGCACCTTAATCACATCAAATCATGTGTTAGAGTTGATCCGTACATACACTTTTTCATTCATCAATCAAAATCAAACCACTGGTGATGCTGGTGTAATAACAATAACTGGACTATATTCTTGCTTTTAAAATGCCATCTATTCGCGTTTGTCCCCTCATAGACGGACAGTCTGTATTTTCTCCAATAAACGACAATCAACTATCCCAACATTTTCCATTCTCTACGCTTTGTTGCTACTTTAATAGTTATAACGGCAGCAGTACGACGAACCATCAGTGACATATTATTTTCACCAAAGACGTAGATTCGTATGATCTTTAGAGCAAGGACGCAGCATAGGTTTTTGAACTTTTGAGTGATGACTGCAAAACTTGGAATCTTCAATTCAACCCTGCTGGTATAAATAAAATATTCAAGGTAGTTGTTCACTGGCAATAGGTGGCTTCACGGTATAGCGAAGGTATAGCATAGGAGCAATGATTGGATGAGTGTTCAGCTTCAGGACATATACTATTTCGTAATTTATATCATATTTCGTTACATCACACTCGCACTGATGAGTGTTCAGCTTCAGGACATATACTATTTCGTAATATATATCATATTTCGTGACATCACACTCGCACTGATGAGCGTTCAGCTTCAGGACATACTATTTCGTGATATATATCATATTTCGTGACATCACACTCGCACTGATGAGTGTTCAGCTTCAGGACATATACTATTTCGTAATATATATCATATTTCGTGACATCACACTCGCACTGATGAGCGTTCAGCTTCAGGACATACTTTTTACTATTTCGTGATATATATCATATTTCGTGACATCACACTCGCACTGATGAGTGTTCAGCTTCAGGACATATACTATTTCGTAATATATATCATATTTCGTGACATCACACTCGCACTGATGAGTATTCAGCTTCAGGACATACTATTTCGTGATATATATCATATTTCGTGACATCACACTCGAACTGATGAGCGTTCAGCTACAGGACATACTATTTCGTGATATATATCATATTTCGTGACATCACACTCGCACTTTTGAGCGTTCAGCTTCAGGACACATACTATTTCGTAATATATATCATATTTCGTGACATCACACTCGCACTGATGAGCGTTCAGCTTCAGGACATACTATTTCGTGATATATATCATATTTCGTGACATCACACTCGTCACACTAGGAAAATATAAGTTGAGTTGAGTTAACACTAAAGAGTCCAGGTGCATGACAAAATTGGTCAATGTCACAATTTTCATGTTAATGTTTTGATTTTTTTAGGATTAGCTGACATCCTTTCCCAGTGTCCATAAATTTGGAACTTTCATCTTCAAACCCCTTTTTACTATCATATTTGCAGTAAATACGTCAAATCTTTTTTTAGATATTATTTATGATATACTGTATTTGTGATATAATACTGTAGGCCTATATTTCCAATAAACCCTGTAATATGTGCGACACTAAAGAACCATGATGTATTGGACACGCTGATGATGTCAACGTTTGTGACAGAAATCGTTTTGAAACAAAAAAGGAATAGTTATAGCCTATTGCTAATTTTGAAAAACTAAAACTATTGTTTGTAAAAATTACTACAAGTATATGTAACCTTTGAAATAAAAAATCTGGCCAACATCATAGATTCTGATGTGGCATGGTTTATGGGAAATGTTTATTTCATGGCGCACATATGTAGGTTTAAGTGACTAGATGCGAGTATGAACAATCTTGATTTACGTCATCAAATATTCAGAATTCAGTCAAAGTGATGCCATATTTGAAATCTACATGCAAAAGTATTCTCGGAAATATGGTTTCGAAAATTGTTAATCAACTTTGAAAATTTAATTTTTTTTGAAAATGTGACTTCTTGTTCGGGTTGATTCGCCATGGTACAAAATCAAAAAAATATTCGAAATATTTGTTCTTGTATTAGACAGATAACGTTTTCTTTTACTGGACATATTTTAATTTGCATAAGTATAAGGACATATGGGTTATATGAAAATTGAACCACTAAAACAGATGTAATTTAAGTTAATTTGAACTTTCTACTATCAGCCATGTTAGCTGATCCGAATGAGCCACCTGGTGGTGAAACTTCAATTTCAATTCAATTAATTTATTTCATAATTTCTTATATAAATTACATTATAAATTCATGCCGCTCGACGCCCGTGGGCCCATGTGCAAGTTCCCAAAGCAGTCGTGGCATACAATGTTAGTCGGCTCTTGTGGGATTTTCTCAACATTATCAACGTAAATATCAATTTCACTGGGCGTCCATGGTCAGCCGTCCACGCATAATCACAAATGTGTTAGAACAAGTTTTCATTTCCAGTTTTCAAAGTAGACCCAATCATGTCACACAATGTTAGTTGCCTCTTGTAGGTGTTTCTCCAATATTGTCAACGTAAATATCCATTTCACTGGGCGTCCAAGCGAAATCACAAATCGCCAGCTGTAAAATATTATGAGATTCATTCATTCTCGTATGATTGTGAAATTCTATTGAATTTTAGTCACATGGTGACGTAACTATAAGCTATTTAGACCCTTGGGTAAAATGCACGCCATTTTTGAGCCCCTTTCTATAAAAACGAGTCATTTGGAGCCAAATTGATAAATCCTAGGGTTTTCAAGAATTAATTTCAATTTGATGACAACAATACATATTTATCAGCTGCCATAGAAAAGGTTTTTACAGTGTTAAAAAGCCACAATGTCATGTCTTTTGTACAAAATAATCGAATGTTTTTAACTGACAAACTACATTGAGATGGCTTGCTTTTTTTAATATAACAATTACCCAATCAGAATGCAGTATTTCAATAATGTGGCTAATAACTTTAAATATTACTCACATGGGCAAGGTTTGCATTTACGTTGAAGACTAAGGGGGAATCAGTTCCTTCGAACACAACTGGAAATAATAGATAAGAGCAGTTTATTATTAGGCCATTCAAAGTTAAGTTTGACAACGTTGAGGAAACTCTCACTACCATCATATTCAACCTCGTTCTGAAGGCGGTTAATTGAAACTGAACAGTCACCCTCAGTGGTAGCCAATTGTCATTTAACTATGGTTCAAGAGGAGTCTGAATAGGAAAGAATCATTCATGTCCTAGACAGAACAAACAAATAAAATCCAATGCGTCAATTAGGATATGATTTGTCTGTTTTTCTGCAAGAAAAATGGCTCACCAAGCCCGTAGCTAGGATTTACCTGGGAGGGAGCGGTTTACTAAGGGTAGCTTTGGCCAAGGGGGAGCTTTTTGACAGTTTTTGGCAAAAAATCAGGCGAAAACTGCTCAGAATGGTGAAAAACTGCATAATGTTGAAAGAATTTCTGGCCAGTGGGGGTAGCGGCCGCTCCCTCCGCTCCCCCTGGCTACGGGCCTGCTCACTAATACAAGTGTGATTGAAAATTAAACCGATAAGCGAGTATGTGATGTAATGTTTGAGTCCTTGCGAAACTTCAATAAATCGTAACTTGATACATTTCCCTGCTGGAAATATGGTAGACAGTAATGAGTTTGATTGCTATTTGATAGTAAAATGATCTACTGTAAATGATATTATGCGATTACACAATAGGTGAAATGATGAGACAAAATAGCTACATCTGCCGTATGTAGATGCTTCGCTATAGATGCAATGACGAGGCAAAATAGCTATAATTAATGAGGTGAAATGATGAGGCAAAATAGCTATGAGGTGAAATGATGAGGCAGAATAGCTAAATCTGACGTATGTAGATGCTTCGCTATAGATGCAATGACGAGGCAAAACAGCTATAATGAGGTGAAATGATGAGGCAGAATAGCTATGAGGTGAAATGATGAGTCACAATAGCTAAATCTGACGTATGTAGATGCTTCGTTGTAGATGCAATGATGAGGCAAAATAGCTATAATGAGGTGAAATGATGAGGCAGAATAGCTTAATCTGACGTATGTAGATGCTTCGCTATAGATGCAATGACGAGGCAAAATAGCTATAATGAGGTGAAATGATGAGGCAGAATAACTATTATGAGGTGAAATGATGAGACAAAATAGCTATAATGAGGTGAAATGATGAAGTAAAATAGCTATAATGAGGTGAAATGATGAGTCAAGGTAGCTATAATGAGGTGAAATGATGAGTCAAAATAGCTATAATGAGGTGAAATGATGAGACAAAATAGCTAAATCTGACGTATGTAGATGCTTCGCTGTAGATGCAATGACGAGGCAAAATAGCTATAAGATGAAATGATGAGGCAGAATAGCTATTATGAGGTGAAATGATGAGACAAAATAGCTATAATGAGGTGAAATGATGAAGTAAAATAGCTATAATGAGGTGAAATGATGAGACAAAATAGCTAAATCTGACGTATGTAGATGCTTCGCTGTAGATGCAATGACGAGGCAAAATAGCTATAATTAATGAGGTGAAATGATGAGGCAGAATAGCTAAATCTGACGTATGTAGATGCTTCGCTATAGATGCAATGACGAGGCAAAATAGCTATAATGAGGTGAAATGATGAGGCAGAATAGTTATTATGAGGTGAAATGATGAGACAAAATAGCTATAATGAGGTGGAATGATGAAGTAAAATAGCTACAATGAGGTGAAATGATGAGTCAAGGTAGCTATAATGAGGTGAAATGATGAGTCAAAATAGCTATAATGAGGTGAAATGATGAGACAAAATAGCTAAATCTGACGTATGTAGATGCTTCGCTGTAGATGCAATGACGAGGCAAAATAGCTATAATGAGGTGAAATGATGAGGCAAAATAGATATTATGAGGTGAAATGATGAAGTAGAATAGCTACTCTGTATGGAAAATGATGAGGTAAAAAGCGATCGTGTATATGAAATTAAGAGACAAAATAGCGTCATTGTAGATGAAATGATGAGGAAACTAATAAGACATTGTAGATAAAAACGTATGAGGCAAAATAATTGCACTCAAGGTGAAATAATGAGGCAAAATACATGTAATTATGCAGCTACACTGTTTGTGTATTCTGTTAACGTCATGTAACTGCGTGTGTACCACATGTGATGATTCTGTCATTCGATTTTTAAGGGTACTGTAGCTATTGCAAACGTACATTCCTTGGGTATGGCCGTGACAGCGCCATCTTTGTTTACTTGAAGGCCCTCTGGTGAGAGTTTTATAATCACGTGTCCTGAAGCACCTTTCTGAAATAAAAATGAAAATCTGAAATAATTTGAGAATACTATTCTAGTAGGTCAAATTAGCCAAATAACTAATGTTTCTTATGATGAGTCAAACTCATGTGTTCACATCGCTATGTGATGTAAAATATTGTTTAAATCAAACTACTAGATATGTACATGTATCAAACTGATTAAAGTGGCAGCAAAGATTACAGACAAGAGTGTAAAAAGTAAAATGTTAAAAGCAATATTTTTTCAGATGTGCACATACTCGAACTCTCAAACACTTGTCAGGAACTCTAGTCATGGCATGTTTCTTTCACAATCTAAATTTTCTTTTATGATTGATCCAATATTTAATTACATTTTATATTTTACATTATTTGCGGCATCTTTAAGTTTCATACACATATTTATAACAATAAGGGTCAAACTCAAATGTGGCAATTTTAGGCCTATGATACTTTCCAACCATAACATAAATATAGTATCTTACCTCTCCCGTTGCCACGACAGTGACATTGTTGGCTATGTTACGTAATATCACTGTGACCGTATCACTCCTGCATCTTAGCTCAAATGTTGGCTACAAATACAATTACAATGCAATATTGTATGACATGATACAATTCAGTACAAAAGTTATCAACTGAAAATCCTCATCACTGATACCCCCACCTTCTTGACTATGTGAGTCCAATATTTACATCTTTATTTATACGAAGATGTGTTGAGATGTCTGATTCATAGTTATCTGAATACTCAAGGTATTAAAGTACGTTTGTCGTATCATCATGATAAACCATGACATCTCTATTTCTTCTGAGCCCTGCTCAGATCACAGAATATGCCTCATAATATCAGAGCATGTTTCTGCAGGTGAAACAGAAAGATGCTATATTGAGTATCAGAATGATGTCGTATGTAAGATGGAAAGTGGAACATGGGGAAAGCAATATATCATACAAGTACCAACGAGTGGTTAATTATTTGTGGTTGAATTTTATCATTTTCCTTATTCCCATTGGATAACATTATGAAGATAATATTTCCGACATTTAATTTTCCGAACCAGGCAAAAATTAGGCAATAGGTAAATTAAATAATTGGGCAAAATTAGCATTACTGTATACGTCTTTAGACTGACGGGTGCAAAATTTCGCGCCTTGTTAGGGATAGGATTTTCGCGTGTTTTTTATTTCACGCTACCAAGGAGCTGGACAGGAGAATCTAGCTAAACAATATTTTCGAAATCTCCAGAAGAGCCCCCCGAATCAAAGACCTAATTTACATATACGATAGCTTATTTTATATACAGAATCAATCTTATACCAACCTGTATGTTTCCTCCAACATCCTCGTTACCATTCGTAATTACACCATCGATATCGGTACCATTAACCAACAAGAAAGCTAACGTGAAATTTTGTCCATACCAATTATGTATAAAGATGGGTAACTTAGCGGGTGAGGGTTCACGAACAAACTTGCCGACATGATCATCGGGGCCTCTGGGTCCTCCTTTGAGGATCTTGCTTCTCCCGGGGTATATCGGGACATCATAGTTAGCGTCATTCCAGTCGGAAAAGGACCAGTAAAGACAACCGGGAGTTTTAACTGCATCTAACAAATTGTTTTAATTCTTTCAAAATGGCATTAGTATGAGGTGAGGCAATATGTTTTCCTTGAAGTAAAGACATATTTCTAGCATTGCTTCAAAAACTGTGGACACCCCCCTTATGCCTATCTACTTCTCCAACAGAACATACTAGTCTTGCTTCAAGGCTATGGACCCCCCCTCCCCCTTATCTACTTCTCCAACACAACATCAACCTGGTGTAAAGAAGATAGAGGGTCCAGAGTCTTGAACTAACATAGGTCGTTCGAAAAGTCTTGCACGACAGCTTCTCAAGAGAAGAGATTTTTTTATTCTTATGTGAAATTTCATACAGATATAGACTGCTACTAATTATTCACCTGATTCAGGATCCTCCAGGCAAAAACATTCAGTTAAATCAAACTTTCTGTTGCCAGGACAAGATATTACTTCAGTGTATCTAACTGACGTGCTAGGTCTATCATCAAGAAGGAGTCTGTATGTAGTTGGGCTAAGTTGTTCATACACTATGTTACCATAGCAACACTGTCCTAAATAATCATATATCAAAATAGTCTTTCATATAAAAGCTAAGAATAAGCGATGTAATTAGAAACTTTTATTGAATTTCACATGGCTCAAGATTTAGATTCTGTGACAGTTTATGTGCATAAACTAGAATCTATGGATGATAATATGACTAAGGTTGTAACACAAAATTGATTATTTGTAATATCAAGGTTGATCTTAGACATTCACGCGCAAAGAAAATAGTTCTTATATACTTACTAGCAGTGTCAAACGTACCACAGGAATCATTTTCAGGGGCTGAAGGCAACTCACCTTTTTAAGAAAACATAAAATTTTACCATGATAAATGTTCAAGTACAATCAACTGATACATGTGATATGGAACAATATTTTACCGAAATTGGAGTAATACAATAAATATCATCATGGTAACTGTCCAAGTAATGGTATAACATTAAATATTACCATGGGTTCTGTCATAAGATCAAAACATGATATATTGATTATAGTCCAACTTATATGACAACAGTCCTAAAAGAAGAAACGTTACCATGGCAACTCATCTATGGTATAGAGTAAAACATGGAATAGAGGTTCATGAGTAAAACAAGAATGTTTAACATTGCAGTTGCCCTCCATTTTAAAGTAAAATAACAATTAATGACTTTTTATCATGACAACTAATTAGACATGATGAGATAATATCAAAGTTCAACAACTGCACTATAGTAAAACAAGATATATTACCATAGAAACGGGTCATATGTACAGTACTATAGAAACTGCACAGTAGGGTTAATACATACAATATACAGCAAAGCAGTCAGCAAAACAAGAAGTATTACCATAGAAATTGCCCGTAGGGTTATATATAAAGTAAAACAAGAAATGGTACCTTTGCAAATACCATTGAACACTGAAGTAAAAATCAACGTTTCAAAAATTAAAACAAGAAATGTTACCATGGCAACTTGGATCACTTCCTGCTACATTGCTGGCAAAATCACAAACGTTCCTTGTACGATTCCAGACCAAAGGGTTCTCACATCTACGCTGAACGGCCACAAAATTATTCAATTTCACATGACCATCGACACATTGGTGATATGTGCAATCATTGTCTCCAAGGTCAGCTGACCAAAAGTACCCGGATGTACATAACGAGGAGTCGGGTACATTCACTCCTATAACATGACATGGATACCACATATGGAAAATGTGAGAAGAGAAGAAAAACTGATTTAGAAGTCTATTGTGCCAAAGAAGTTGGGGATCCTTATTCTTGGTCACAAGGGTCTATTTAAAAAAAACAATTTCACCCCCTCCCCTCCCATATACCTTGTCAATACCTTGTCTATTCTCGATCAGTTTGCGTCCAAAATGACCATCCAAATTCCTTCCACAGTGTAGAAGAAGATGATGTTATATAGTGATACCAATAATTTAATGATATATTTCCTGAATAGTTTTTCAACGCTTATAAAAATGTGTAGCACTTACTATAACTGAACGTGACATTCTTACTGACTTTTCTTTTTATTAATATAAAACAACTGGGGTCACTGTTGAAGGTAATTATATGAAGGCAAGATTCTTTAAAATGTGAATTCTTTTTTCTTACTGATGAGTTTCTCCTGGGCTGATGCAGCAGTTATCAATTGCAATATACACATACACCAGAACCAAATCCTGAAATGAAGAAGTCAGTTACTGTTTTAGGAATTATAGATCATTCCATATTCAAATTGGAAGAATCTCTAATGCAATTATACAGGTTTTCAGGATGCGCGCTCCCCCTAAAATTCGGCGTAGACAATTATTTAGTTCTAACGGAATTTGAATAACACTTGCATGTTGTATTTATAGTGGGGATTATTCTTTTTATTTTCAGATTGTATGAATTGTATATTGAATGTTAAATTCAAAACTACGCAAATCAATGTTAGAACACCAATTTTATAATTGCAAAACGACAGTTTTGATAGTTATAATAGATGGTACTCATGCTTTAATGTTAAAACATTAGCCTATTTTAAATTATGTAGCCGCTGACGAAAAATCAACGCACTGCTTGAAAACGATGATCTTTGCCCGGGGATCTTTGACATCGTACTCATTTCTTGATGAAATATTGTTCTATTTCTCTGAAAATGCGGGACATACGTAACATGTTATTCAAAAAGTATTCGATGGAATCAGACGATGTGATGTTACTACAAATGAGGATGGAGATAAAAGTATGGTCAGTCGATTTAAATTTTAAAAAGTTATCAATTACAAGTATATCGCACGTTATCATATGTGTTTGGGATGTTCAGTTTAATCAAGATTTCGGTTAAGAAATGGTAGATTTTACCGAAGGTTGATGAAAATGATTTTACCGAAAAACAATATGTTTGTCGTTATCCAAGAAATATATACTAGTATTTACTATTTTCTAATTCCAAAAATGCTCAGATTGCAACAAAATGCATTCAAATTTTGGAAATTTCTGGGACCCCCCTATTAGTCATTCTCCGACCTCCTTCGTCATCTTCCGGCCACGAATTCAATAATCAAGGCGCACCCCCTAACCTGATATCCTGGATCCGCCCCTGAAGGTTGTTTAAATAAAACAGGGGAGGTTATGAAATCAATTTAACTAGAAAATAGGAATTCTCGCGGAATAGCAAATCCCACCGTTTGACCGCACAAAACATTCGTCATTTTGGGCAAATTATGAAAGAAATAACTAGGCATCAGTTCTGTCAAATTTTTTCCAAATCTACAACATTATTCTTTTTTTTTTTATCATGTTTTATTTAATACAATAATATATGTTAAAAGAAAATTTCCAAAAAGGCGACTTGGTTTAACATTATAAGTCGCAGGGTTAATTAACAAAATTTATTAAAAAAAACAAAAAACAATCCATTTGGTGAAGCAAATTGGTGAATAAATTAAGCATAGAAGGTTTGATAATTGCTGCTAACACTCAGACACTTACACACTTCTGGAGAAAAGAGGCACTAGTTTCAAGAACAGTTATGTTTGTAGCGTAGTTAAATTTTGAGCTGCCAAAAAGAAAGAAATTCAATTTCTCTTGTTGGGTCTTAAAATTCTTTTTATATTGAATTTCAAGGTTATTTAGTTTAATTTCGAAGTCAGTTAGGAGGGTCCTACGGAGTCTGCAGTTAAAGATGACATGCTTGGATGTTTCACTTTTGAATCCACACTTACATTTTGGTGTGTCAGCTAGAGTAAAGTTGTGGGCATGAAAATGAGATTGAAAAATCAAGTCGACTCTAGTCCTATTAAGACTGATTTCCTCTGGTCTAGGTAAATGCAATGAGGTAGATGATATGATAGGTTCTGGATAAATGAGAAGTGTCAATTTAGATTTGAAAGTACTTAAGTTGTCTATCTCTTGGAGTTGTTGGGGTAGTTTATTCCATTCTGAGATAGCTGTAAAAATGCATGTTTTCTTTAATAATAATTATTGTTTTCTTTCGATTGGTAAGATAAGATTCAATAAGTAGCATTATATTTGGACCAAACCGTATGCATGTAGCTTCTTAAGTAATAGCTTATGGGGTAAAGTATCGAAGGCGGCCGATATATCAAGAAAGACTGCACGGACATCATTACCATTATCCATATTAGAAGTTAAAAAATCAAGAATACTTAGTAGTTGGTGTTGTGTACTGTGACCTGGGAGAAATCCACTTTGAAAATTAAATAGAAGATTGTTTGTTAGCAAATGGTCAACCATCCTTTTAAAAATAACTCTCTCGGCTACCTTTGAAAGGCAGCTTAATAAAGTTATTGGACGGTAATTAGAAACAAGGTTTTTGTCACTTTTTTATGGCATGGGATAATATTCCCTAGTTTCCAGGAATTAGGAAATTTTCTCATTTCAAACATCTTATTGAGAAATTTTGAAAATAATTTTGATAAAGATGGAGCTGCTAACTTGAGCATTTTATTACTTAGTTTGTCAGGACCTAAAGCTTTGCTAACATCGAGTGATAAAATAATTTCATAAATCTCTCTGTCATTTGTTGAAAGAATGTTTAAAAAAGAATCAGTTCTAAGGTCAAATTGAACACTGTCTGTATCTACTGTACGTTATGATCAGAATGAAAATTTTTGATGAAATGGTCAAGAAATAAATTAGCCTTTTCTGTGCTGGTGAGTATAGAAGAGCCGTTTTGGTTGGTCAAAATAGGAATCCTAACAACTTTAGTTTTGAATAAAAGTTTAGATATGACCGACCAGTAAGACTTGCTGCCATATTTAAGGGAGTTTAATTTCTCATACATGTGTGCTTCATACTCAAGTTTGGCCTTTGTTATTTCCTCGTTAACAATATCACACTGGTCAATGTACTTTTGATAGCGTTCTTGATTGTTGTTGTGGCGGTATTTGAAATGTAGACGATTCCGTTTATTAATTAGTGTTTTAATGTGAGGCTTGAACCATGGTTTATCATTGCTCCGGACCTTTATAAGTTTATTTGGAATGGTATTGGTAAATATTTGGTAGAGTTGGTTAGTAAATTGATCACATAACATGTTCATATCATCATTGATCAAGTTTTGAATTTCTAATTGAGTCGTTGATATTTTGAACATCAGCCTCGGAATATGACCAAATTCTACGGAAATATGGCAGTTCCTTCACTGTACCAACAAATGAAGTACAGACTAGAGTGCTGTGGTCAGTATTTCCGATTGGAGGTGTAACATTTGAAGAGGATATAAGATTTGGTTGATTAGTGATAAGAAGATCAATGCAGGATTGGCTTCTATTTGTGACACGAGTTGGTTGGTCAATTAACTGTGAAAGACCCAGACTTTGGAGATGGTTATTAAGCTCATTTCCAGTAAAGTTTTCATTGTCAGCGTCCCACCAAATTTTGTTGCGAGCATTAAAATCCCCATTAATGACAAGCAGGTCAGCATTGGCATTAGTCAAAAAGTTGGAGCAGGTATCATAAAATCTTTTAAAATATGCTTTAGACTGTTGAGTATCTTGGGAAGGGGAACGGTAAAAAACTCCATATATAATGCTCTTGTGGTGGAGCTTAAGTTCAATAAATAAGGCATCTCCCTCAGCATTAACAAAATCATGTCGAGCTATAATAGGGATTTCTTCAGATATATAGATAAGTAAGCCACGATTTTTAGCCGAGTAAATTGGAGGATGGAAATTTGGAATGGAAAAACGATTGGTAATTTCATCTTGGGTAAAGGTTCCGACTTCACAGAGACCTACAACTTGGGTATCTTCTGTTAAGATACGTGTTTTAAGAGCATCAAACCGAGCGCCAAATTGAGCACTGATGCTATTTATGTTGGAGAACAAAAATTTTACAGTTGACCAGTTATGAGGTCCAGGATGTGATTCTATGTCGCCACTTAAAATAAGTAAGGATTCAATTGTATTGGGTATATAGCAAAGTTGAGGAGTAAAAACAATGATAAGAAGCACAAATGAAGTGATAACATATATCATATTACGCAAACTATATGAAGTTGCACTACATGCTACTTGGACATAATTGATAATACTTAAGACTAGGAAGCCCATAATGTTTATATAAACAATAAACACAGTTATGAGTACTAAGGAAATCATATGCAGTGAGAGATTAAGCAATAAACCATTGACCGTTGTAAGGAGCAATAGTAATCCAGTCAATAGTTGAAAGAGTACTTGAAGCATTTGGCATTTACTAGGTTTGGGAGAGTCAAGTAATTTTTTTGTACTGCAGTTACTACTGAATAGACCAATGGCTCTACGCCAAGATTGAGTATCTATGCCCATTGCCTTATTAAGCAGTTAGCATAAGAGAAATACACATTAAAAAATATCAGGTTGAGGTATGGAAAGATGAGTTCATACGCTACATTCTTCTATGTAAGTTTCATGAGGAAGAAGTAAACAAAGTGTGTAAGTGCCAAAGTGAATGAACCTTTAAGAAGACTATGACAAGTTTTTAACCTGTTAAATAATAGATGGCAACTAAGTTGCTATCTTGCAAGTGGTTCAGAGAGTCTAGCAGCAATAAAATAAGAAAGGACCAGTGTGTTTCACCAAGGAGGATTATTGGCTTGGTTTGCAAGGGAAAAACCTTTGTGAATGGGTCACAAAGTTTGTAAGTTGGTTCAACAAACAAAGGAACTGGTGTGAAAGCAAATTAAGGTTTTCAGGATCACACTGTGATATCAACAAAAATTAGTGTATGAGTGTCTGTAAACATTGGCACTGAGTCAACTTTGAGAAGAAAAGGTAACATGTACTTATAGTATTTGTATACTGACACAATTAACCCTTTGGGTTGAAAAGTTCAGAAAAGAGATGAAATATCATCTGTAATGTCAACCTGTTTTCTTTGATCAGATATATGTCCAATTGCCCAAATTTTACCATTCTAGGCCCATGCGTCCTTAACGTTAGTTGCTTGTTTCAGGCGCCACAGGAGATTCTTGTTCAATGGGGAGAGACTTTCATGTAGAGACACTCCTGTAGATTTAAGGGACTTGCGTGTCCGGATTAGATGGTCACGAAGTTTACGGCTTCTAAATCGCACAATTATTGGCCTCGGTTTCCCATCTTTGCCTTTAATCCTATGAGCCACATCAATATCATCTTCGGTAACAATGGTGTTTGGCATAATGGTGCTCAGCTTTGTAGATACGGCTTTAATGCAATCTTCATTTCGCTTATTAGTGTCATTTATACCATGGACAATGAGATGGTCCTTACGAGAGTACTGATTGTTCTTGTTAATGTCACTTTTCATGTTGTTTAAATCACCTTTCAAGTTGGACACTTCAGCATTCAGCGAATGGACATCTTCTCTGAGCTTTGTGTTCTCAGCTTTGAGGGCATCAATGCTGGTTTTGAATAAAGTTTCCATTGCGCTGATGATATCGGCTTTGAGTGATGTCAAATCAGCTTTTGTTACGACTTCATCAGGTATATCAGGTTCAGCTTCAGCAGATGCACTTTTAGTAGTGTTCCTGTTCTTAGGCGACATGGTCAGCGAAGGGTTAATACAGTGATAAAATGGCAAGTCCAGAAATCAAATATGTAAATCCGTAAATATAGCTCAAAGATTTCATATATGTCCAGAAATTTCGTGTATAATCCAGCATATAATGTTCATAAATATGGTTGGCCAGGTAATTTAGTGTAAATCCATCAAATAATCGCAAATAGTTGCAAAAACGTCACAGCCTTCCTTCTAGTGTGTTTCCACTTAGGCAGCCATACTTATTATTCATTAAAAACATCAGGACAACTTACCATGTAATACATTAATAAAACTCTGAAATAATTCCGTTAACCGTTTTGCTTTTTGAGGTACAATAAAAACGTGAAATTACACACGTGAAAATCATCAAACAGTGTGGCCATGCTTATGAGTATTCATATACGTATTGGTATAGGTATATGAGTAAAATCGTAAAATAGCGGTGTAAAGACCACTAATTTTCAGGATGGCTGAAATGTGTTTCTTAAATATCTACATTTTTAGTTTTTTAGCTACATTTTTATATCCTACATAACTTTTTTACATTTTAAAGCATACTGCTAAATAGTTTCATATTTTGTACCTAAATAACTTTAAAATAAACACTAAAATGGCCGCCATTTTTAAATGAGTGGCCAAAGAAGAAGTGAGTAGCTCCCATAATACTATTATATTCTTTCGCATTCGGGGATTCCCCTTGGGCATCCTATATGGTCATACAAGCCTTATATGGATCTATTAAATGATATTCAAAATGGCGGACAACGGTCAGTTGGATTCCTATATGGTCATGTAAGCCGTATATGGATCCAGCACGTGGGTACCACGTGATCGAACACGAAGGCTGAACTTTGGGAGATCTCCCCCTCCTGGAGTGGCCATTTTGAAAATCGGATTTCAAGCTCGGAACTTATACACTCATATGGCATTTTGTACAAAATATTAACAAAATTGGGCAAACGGCATTCGAGTTATCGTCAAGACATACGGACGGACGGAGGCGTCCCCTATATTCATGTACACTGTACCTCCGAACTTCGTTCGATGGGATAAAAATGAACGGATGGGGGAATAGCGGATTTCTAAAAGAAAACTTAACCAATCCGCAAAATTTATTTTTTCACGAAAAAGAGTACAAATAAATCTCTAAATAAATATATGTAGTTGCACATGGTAAAATCTGTAATATTTTATGATCCTTTTTTAACTGCTAGACTACCACTCATTAATTTAGAACAAAAATATTGACTTTAGCATCGCACGCTGGTGACGTTGCGCCTTTTTTAATAGAAGCGTATCCGTTAAGAATAGGAGATCTGATTGAGTATTTCCACGTCAAATGAGGAAACAATAAAATATACTTACATCTTTACATACTAGTATGCATCAAAAATGGAATGGTAGTTTAATTCTCTCGGTGCCCAAAAATGTGGAGATATTTTGATTTGTGGTAGTGGAAGTCCAGTATATAATAGCAGTGACAATGTCTCGTTAATAATATCAAATAACAGTGACAAATGACACCATACTTTGTTATGTAAAAACAGATTTATTTTCTCCTATATATGTCATGTTTGTAACCTAAATACAGTGAAACCTGTGTTAGTAAGCACCTCTCTCTAGTGAACCTGTATTACAGTGAGCGTTTTTATTTGGCAAAACCTTTTTTTCTCCCATTGACTCCCATGTTAAAGTACATTCCTGTAGTGTAACACTGTGAACACTTAAATGTTGGCATAATTAATTGAATTATCTTTCACGATATGATATCACTAGTTTTTTGTAACAGCCTTTTGAAGTTACCTGTATTGTAAACAGATTATTGAAACCAGTCCTAATTTTCTCCGGATGACCGTTACGACATGAAATATTGGGATTTATGCATGTAAATGAAATCGGCTTTGCGGTTGGCTGTTGACCTCTGATACGTGTACTATTTGTCTGTAATCAAATCATTAGACAATTGTTTCTTGTCACGTTAGATCACGGTTTGGGATAGTATGGGTTTGTTTTCCTAGTCCTGGTGTACACTTAAATATAATAAAACGTGTAACTTGATCCTTTTAGAGAACGTGTACACCTGAACGTGTGTAATCATGGGCCTTACTGTTTCCCTCTGAAGTGGTTTTTCCAGGGACCTTATATAATTGTTTCACTTTTACCTTTATACTCAATCATACAAATAAATACTAAGAAGAGGACTAATCCCTAGAGGGCCATCATAACTATTTTCTATTGATTTTATGTTCATATATCGTGCGTGGGAGCCAAAGTTCAACGATATCTTCCAACGCTTATGGGAAGGTAACTGTAAAATACAGCAACGATCATCAAACTAAAATCCCAGTTACCTTCCCTTAAGCTGTGGACGATATCGTTGAACTGCGGCCACTACGCACTACGCACAATATATGTATAATTGACCATACGCCCAGGATCCTGTAAGTTTCCTCTAGTCCAAATATCAAAGCATAACGTCAACTATAACTAGTCTAATTCGATGAAAACTAAAAATGTCCACGCTTAGATTCGGCCATCTTCAGTGTGGAAGTAGAGGCCGTTACCTTCGCTTGATACCGACTAGTGAAGTTTTGATACGGACTAGTGAAGTTTCACCGCCTAGTTCCCCAATACGTCATTGTGATGTTCAATCATTGTAAGCATGTTCCTTACACATTTCTTTATCTTGATGTGAAAGAGCAAGGTATGGTGTTGGTTAACAACTTAACACCCAGATATTTGCATATTATTCAAAGCGTTTTTAGAAAATTTTGAGACCACCATTTACTGATCACATTTCCATTATAGAGGTATGTTATCTCTGAACCCAAAGGTTTTCCCCTGTTGTTATAACTGAAAGATTGTGGCAAATCATTGTTGACAGATTATTATCAGCAGAATTTCAATTTTGGCATTGGCGCTTATTTCATGGGAAGTCTATAGGATGGGGGACTCAAAAATGGGGATCGGAGCAATGTTAAACAATAGTACCCTGGTTAATAGTACCAATACGCTGTAGACTCACATAAGAGTTGATATAATGTTCATTTTTCTTGTTTATTTGACCAAATATTGTACAGTAAATTAGACTCTTGAGGGGTACAGCATCTGGAAGCACAAAAATAACAAATCTTAGATATACTGTTATTTCATAAAATACAAGGATTACAAATGCAAATCTAAACAACAATGCAGTTCAGACAAGGGCTTTACAAACGATTTCTTTGTATGGACAGCTATGTTGTTTTTCCTCAAATGTAAGGTCATAGGATTTTTTATAATGACATTTAAGATTCGTAATTTTTTTATAATACACATTTTAGGTTTTGAATTTTTAGCATTCCAATTTTTTGTCCAACATTTTAAGATTTTTGATACCAATTAGACATGTTAGAGTTAGCTGCACAACAGATTTCACAATTACTATAGTATTTGCGATTTTCTACCTTTGGATCTTTAATAGTTTCACTATTTAATATTACTTTATTATTTACTTTATATTGATCCAAAATATTTCAGATTCTATCTCAAATTTAACCTCTTGAATCCCATGCTCTAAAATCAGTTTGAAACCAGAAAATTTTCAATTTTTGCCAGCTTTTGACATTTTACTACACACATCGCAGTAGTGGATGCTCAAATTGCCATACTGTACTCCTGGTATATTTCGACGCTTTAAATTTCGCGTTTTTTCAAAATTGCAATTTCGCGGCTATTTAATTTGGCTTATTTGAGTTAATGACATTTCGAGGATTGCACAAGTTGAATTGACGCCTTCCGATTACCGTCAATCAATGCGTATCTTGCTATTTTAGCCCGTTCAGAATCCGAATATGTTTGTATTTCCCACGTTTAGGGTATTTATTTGAATATTCTTGAATGGCTTTTTCAACTTCAATTAGTAGGATATCATTGTCGTCAACAGTTCTTGCCTTTGTTGGCCTAATAAGCCAATTCAAAATGTTAGACATTTTAGGCCTTTTTTAAATTATCGCCCAACGACACTGGACGAAACGTTTTCACAACAAATGTTCACAAATGTCCACATCACGACAAATGTTTGAGATTTTACAACATTCGCGAACAAAGCGAAATTAAATCGCACGCGAACAATACCCAGAGTACAGTATTAGGTTTCAAGGTAATTTCTTAGATGAAGAGAGATCTCGTCATTCTGGGATTAGTCAATGGTTAATGCAATAACAGAAAGACTTACAACTCTGATTCTTCTGCCCATAGCTTTAGCTGGAAGATTTTTCCTGAACTTTGCTCTAACTGCACCGCTGTTTCCATGGGAACGTGTGATTTTGCCCCAGATCACTCTAATTTTATTGGCCTTATCTTTGCCTGGGGTGGCAGTCTTACTGTAATAAAAAACAATAATATCATTCACATTTGTGATTTAATGAAATCACTGGGCAGGGTTCTCACCAGGAAGTTTTAGACAACAGATTTTTCGCTCTATCATGACTACTACTCCCCCTGTGAAATCAGATATATCATATTACTTATTAAGTAGTATACTATTCTACCATCCCATTTAAATCACAATATACATTTCTAAAAGGTTTCTGACTGCCTATTCCTTGTTCATGTGTTTTCTCAAGAGTTTTACCACAAATTATGTGACAAAAAATGTAAAACTAGACTCCAGAAAAAACACTTTGGACTTCAGAAAAGCTATTAAGACTCTGGAGTAAGAGAGTCTAAAGACATTCGACTCTGAAGAGTCTAAAAGCCTAGTGAGAGCCCTGCTGGGTAATACTGTAATATGTTACATGGACACAATGCTAAGATATATTATAAAAGGGGCAATCAATAAACTTCAGAAGTTTTGTAAATGGATGATCTTCTGGTGGCAAAATCAAAATTGTAGTGACAACTTTGAATCTAAAATTGAAGGATCATATTACAACATTATATAGAAAAATAAAAACATGTACCTGTCCTAACTTTCCAGATAGGTAAGTATAATGTGTAATTTTAGTAGTTTTGTACTATGATAGCAAAATTACAAAAACAAACTAAAGCATACAAAAGTTAGGCCATGTCAGTGCTCTCCCTTGAATTTTTGTGTGGAGGATTTTAGGATTTTTTTTTGAAACATTTTACGATTTTGTAGTTTTTAGTGCAACATTTTAGAATTTGTTTTTTATTGTAACATTTTAGGAGGTGCATCTAATTGCATTGAAGAGTATTTTGGTTTTATAAAATACATGGAGGTGCCTCAAGAGATTTCAATGTGGGGAGAGCACTGCATGTACCTTATTGATGTTTTTATTTTCCATAATCTGTTGGTTCTTCAATCGCTTATTTCTAAAATTCAAAGTTGTGAACTTACTTTTTGGCTTTGTAAACATATGCGCATCTTTTGCCCAGGTAGAATTCTGTGTCATCTTTGCGTGACACACCATCTATCTTGAGGAGAGATGTATTTTCACGCTGGTTCCTAAGTCCTCTCTTGAAGCCAGTGAAGACGGCTTTGCAGTAAAGTCTACCTGCCTTCTTGGGTGGGTTACCCTTCACGACAACGGTTTCTTCTGACATGATACTGCCACCTGAAAGGGCAGGAATGTTTAAACTTTAATAATGCAAATGGCAATGTAACAGATCTGATATGTGAGGTAAAATTCGAGAACGAGAATGAATTGAAATGAGAAATGAGCAAAGAAAGCAGCTAGAAGAAGATAAAGGTCTCTTCATAGCTTTATTCCTCATGAAATATGCGATTTTTTTATAAAATGAAAGGTCAGTACTGGTTAAATATAACATGAAAAAAATGTTTGAAAAAATCTGCTTCCGAAGAAATCACTGGAGAATCATGTTGGAATATCGTCAAAAATCATTGAGTTTCAACTTCCATCGGCATGATTTGTAGGTATCATTAAAAAGATGAGGATTTTATGCACACATCTGTGTCGTCATTTTAACATTTTGTCGAATGAACACAGATATATTGAGTAAAATAGAAAATAATTTAACTCACTTGGTTGGGATTTTCAAGATGGCGCTAAAAAGGAAGTAGTAAGAATTGTGGGACCGGAAGTGCTCAGAGACCTTAGTGACAGAGTAAACACTTTTGGACATTTTTATTCTCTCATGTTTTCATAAAATAAGTACCATTTTTCTGTAGTTCAACTTTAAAATCGGCGTCGCAACGAAAAAAGAAAGGTTAGTCATCATTTATATGTAATAACATGAAGTATTGGTGCAGAAACGAATGTAATAAATCAACTTGAACTTCGACAGATTTTTCACTTTTGGATTTATTTTTCAAAATCAAAATGTTGAGTGAAAATGTATGAAATATATTTCAAAATAGCTAATGTGACTCCTTTATCTTCAATATTTAATTCTAATTGAATGGTTTTCTTTAAAGATGTTGGAGGAGGCGGAGTCGATCCATGTGGCAGCGGTCCTTGAGGACTGTGTCGATCAGTTAGCCGTTCTTGGAAAAATTATGCCATCGACATTTGAAGCAAGAAAAGATGCATCAGAAGTAAGTTGATATAGGGAATGATTAATTAGACAAAATTGAATTTTTTGCTTGCATAAAACTTCTAGATTATTTTGCATGGCATGTACAGAGTGCATTGCCTCATAGTCCGTAAGTCTCTAAACACTTTTTGAACATTTTTTTGAGGATCTTTCATTATTTTCACCATTTTTAGGAGTACAGCGCAGTTAATGAAGTATTATTTTCTCGCTTTTCCGTTCTCTAGATTGTTGATGATGAAATATCTCAACTGGTTGAAGGCCAAAAGAACTTAGAGGACAAATACGAGCATGCTGTCGCCAGTAAAGGCAAGGATATGCAGAGCATAGGCAAAGATCTTAAGAACAGCACACATATATTTGCAAGAAGCCTGAAGCAGAGTCCACTTACACCTGATAACATGGGAAAATTGCAGGATGACAGGTATGTAATAATATTTTAACCAGTTTCTGACATTTCCTAGTCTAAATACAATGTACAGGTAGATAGATGAAATTTCATACCCTTCTAGAAAAATTCAGTTACTGAAATTACAAATTCTTCTTATTTCTTCAATAATAATATTGATATTTTGTATTTTCTGCTTACATTTACGTTAGATTATTTTCTCCAGTTTTGGAAATTTTCTACTCAGAATAGATTACAGTAAATGAGAATTTTGTACCCTTTTGAGAAAACCTCTACTGATTTTATACATTCTTTTTATTAATTTGATAGTACATACATGTATTAAAATTCTATACTTTTCACTTTCAGGGCATTTCTAGAAACTGTACTGTTTGATGCCATGAGAGAGATCATTCAGTCGGGAAACTTTGAGAGTTTGATCCAAGCTGTAAAGTTAGAGAAGGAGAAAAAACAAAGACTCCAGGAAACAATTTTGAAGTAATGGCAACATTTTTATTTATAAGTACAACCATGGGCTTTCAATAGTGTATTGAATGCCCATTGTACAACATGTATTTTTTTATTTTCAAACCATGTAAGACTATGAGTGAACAATTATTTAATGTTGATAAATTGTCTAAAAAAGTAATTACAGTAATTATGTTATTAGGGGGTAAAATGATTTTTAGTTTTCTGGGGTTTCGTCTTCTGCAATTTCTGATTTGACAGGCACGGTATGATCATTGAATATCCTCGACAGATATGTATGAAGAGAATTTGAAATATGTTGTTCATAGCCGTAGCATATATTGAATGCAGTGGGGATGTACTTGAAATCTGCACGCAATTTAACATTTCGACTTGTTTACCCCACATGCAAATCAACATTTTGTTAAAAGGGGAGGGGGTTAAAACCTAACTAAATTAATTACTTTTTTGACCCGGCCCTTTAATTAAATGAACTTAATTAATTAAATGAACTTATCAACGTTACAGGGAGGAACAGGGACGTAAGAGGGTCAAAGAACTCCAGAGAAAATTGATTGATGTCAAAAGAGAAAAAGAGACGGAATGTCAAGAGAGGGATGAGATGATTGCCCATCTGAAGGATCAACTCCAGGAAATGAAAGCTAAGACCAACATGGAAGGTTTGTAATCAACTCAAATTTATTTGCTTATGTCACAAGTGTAGCCAACTGGCTATGATATAAGACAAAGGACGATTCTCAGTTTGGAGAACAGTCTCCTGGGTTAATAATTTTTTTCATGAAAAATATAGAAATATTACCCAAATTTAACTATAAATATTCAAAAGAAGACATTTAAATCTACAAAATGTAAACATAGCAAATTGGTCTGTAGCAGGGATAACGCTCAATTAGACCGATTCAATAAAATACAAGTCTCGATTTGGGGAAAAAAGTTCATCAGTGTACTGCGCTAATATTTTTTTGTCAAAAATCTAGAAATAATACCCAAATTAAACTATGACTATTCAAAAAAAGACATTAAAATCTATATTATGTAAAAAAATCAAATTTGTCCGAAGCAGGGATAATGCTCATTTATTTTGATGAACTTCGTTCTCCAAACCGAGAATCGTCCTTTACATACATGTCAAAAGTAGTTCTTAAGATGTATTAAAATGAAATGAAATGTTTCAAACAAAACACATCATTTATACTATTTGTCACATTTAGGCAAGTATATCAAAAAGTGTGCTGAAGTGGGTGTTGCGCAGACACAGAAGAAATGTTTCCTAACTGAGAATGAGCTAAAGACTGAGATCGACAGACTGCGACAACAAGTGGATGAAGAGACGAGAGTTAACACGGAAATAGAGGCTTACCTCAGAACACATCAAACAGTAAGCTTTACCATTCAAGCCAAAAATATACTTTCTTACCATGTGTTATCAAAAATGTCTTGAACCCCAAAATATAATTTCCAATAATCCTCTCAGCCTACATGTACATATACATGTACTGTACATGTATGTAGACCCAATATAGCATATTGTATTCACATCAGAACCAAATAGAAATGTACTGTATGAACATAATCGTTGCCTCAGTCACATTTGATCTACATATGTTTTATATGTCTCTGATCTAAAGCAATAGTACAGCGGCCATAGCTTCCCAAAATTGAGAGATAAGCAGTACGATGTAGATTTTTTAAAACAATTTTTGAAGCTACAGTGTCTCCATGGCCGCCTTGGAGCAAATGTGACTGAGGCTTAACATGTGACATTTTTTCATGCTAGTGCCATATTCAAATTTGAGCCTTTATTGATAAAATTAATAAAATCTTTTATTTTCTTAAATAGAAATTTCATGCTTGATTTTTTTGCAGGAACTAGAAACAAAGGTGGACTATTGGATGGGAAAATACGACGAAGATGTGGAAAAGAAACAAAAAGAGCTTGATATTCTAAAAGCAAATAAAGCAAAAGATTTAGAAAGACTGCAAGACCTCACAAAACTGGTATGATATTTTTTTATTCAAACACATTGTTTTGGATGCAGCTACTTTTATTCAAATAACTTAATTACTTATTTTTCATTATTTTCTGGGTTATGCACATTAAAACCTGTATATCCTAATGCCTCTATGAACTGAACACCTCTCAGGCAGAAGATGAATGCTTTTGCATTTTTCCTTAACATTTTTGAAATTCCATTGTTTTTAAAAGCATGTATGCTGTATACAGAGCAGCCATTTTGAATGAAAATTAAAGTCAATATTTCACATATTTCATTGTTTTCTTTTCCAGTATGCAGAATATGAACAGATTGTTGTGGAGGATCGGGTGGAGAAAGAAAAAGCAAGGAGGAAGGCAGAACTAGAAGCTGAGGAGCTAAGAGCTGCCATAAAAGTAAGAACATTTCTATGTCGTCTGTTCAGCCCTTTGCATTAATTTTTTCTTTAAAAGATTGAAGCGTCCCAATTTTATGGTATTTTTGTATAATTTAGAATGGTCACTATTTCCTCGAGTCTTGTCAATAACTTGGCGAGACATCATGGCATGTTGAACAATGTATACTTACAATGTGGGGAAAATTGAGGGGTTGAAAAATATTCATCCTCCTAAGCAGGTGTCCAGAATCCGTACCTCCTTCTTCCCCCCTGCTATAACCAATTTGGAAGCGCCTGATTAAACTGAATCATGTGATCTTATTATGTGCAATGACCTATACATGATTTCTGTCGCCAATCAGATTGCGAGTTCTTAATCGGGGAAATGCTAACTGCTTATCGCAGGGGGTAAAAAGAAAGAATATATTCTGGATTTTGAAGCCCTGTGATCGGAGGTTGAAAAATATTTAGATGCCACAGTATTTTAAAAGTTGTGAGGATAGCTCTTTAATTGAACTTGGAACACACTGTCATTTGTGAGATATTACATGCTTTCATCTAAAATTGAAATCAAGGGGTCTGCCCTTTTTAAAAATGCTCTGATATCAACTTAATTTATTCACATGCTATTCTTTGTTTTCAGTTACAAGCCTGGTTCAGAGGAGTCATGGTGAGGAGATGCCTGGTATTCAATTGATTTATTCACATGCTATTCTTTGTTTCAGTTACAAGCCTGGTTCAGAGGAGTCATAGTGAGGAGAGGCCTGGTATCCAATTAATTTATTCACATGTTATTCTTTGTTTCAGTTACAAGCCTGGTTCAGAGGAGTCATGGTGAGGAGAGGCCTGGTATCCAATTAATTTATTCACATGCTATTCTTTGTTTCAGTTACAAGCCTGGTTCAGAGGAGTCATAGTGAGGAGAGGCCTGGTATCCAATTAATTTATTCACATGTTATTCTTTGTTTCAGTTACAAGCCTGGTTCAGAGGAGTCATGGTGAGGAGAGGCCTGGTATCCAATTAATTTATTCACATGCTATTCTTTGTTTCAGTTACAAGCCTGGTTCAGAGGAGTCATGGTGAGGAGAGGCCTGGTATCCAATTAATTTATTCACATGCTATTCTTTGTTTCAGTTACAAGCCTGGTTCAGAGGAGTCATGGTGAGGCGAGGCCTGGGACCTTACAGCAAAAAGAAAAAGAAGAAGGGCAAGAAAGGAAAGAAGGGGAAAAAGAAATAGAAAGGCTGTTTATTAGGACAATCATTATTATCTGTTGTACTTTAATTTGCATGTTTATAAAACATGAATATGAAATTTGTTGTTAATAATACCTGGACTGGAGTCAAAAACTTCACATTTTATTGCAGTATAGAGGAACTCAAAATAGAAAAAAATAACACAGATCCGTATATTGTTAATTCTACGATAGTGACAGGGTAGTGTGTGATATGTGGTCTTTACTTTCTTCATTACTGATCAAATCTTAACTATAATTTTTTTCATTGTTACTCATGGTTTGAATTCCTCCACAGATTATTTACTGAGCAATAATCCAATTTATAACTAACCAAATAGATCAAATCTTAACTATAATTTTTTTCATTGTTACTCATGGTTTGAATTCCTCCACAGATTATTAACTGAGCAATTATCCAATTTATAACTAACCAAATAGATCAAATCTTAACTATAATTTTTTTCATTGTTACTCATGGTTTGAATTCCTCCACAGATTATTAACTGAGCAATTATCCAATTTATAACTAACCAAATAGATCAAATCTTAACTATAATTTTTTTCATTGTTACTCATGGTTTGAATTCCTCCACAGATTATTGACTGAGCAATTATCCAATTTATAACTAACCAAATAGATCAAATCTTAACTATAATATTTTTCATTGTTACTCCGGGTTTGAATTCCTCCACAGATTATTGACCGTCCAATTATCCACATTCTGACACAGCATCTTTTTGTTTCACCTGAATCTCAGGGCTGAGAAGAAATGAGATGTCATGGTTTATCATGATGATTATCCAAGGGATTGTGATAACACATAAAGTACAGTGAAACCTGTATATACGAACACCTCTCAATATGAACACTTTTTCTTGAACCCAATATTATTATTGATCTACATGTTATACAAATATTGAAAATTGCACACAACCTTACCCAATTTCCCTATTAAGGTAGTCCCACACTCAGAAAAATATGAAGAAAAATTAATGTCATATTAACATTCCAATTTCAAATACCCACATAAACATGTGAAAAAACACTTATCAAGAACACATGTACTTATAACGTTTAACCCTAATGTCTGCAACATTTTTTTATAACATGTCCGACTCGTTATATAGTTTATATTTTGAGTTCCTCAGTCTAGAAGGTTAAACGTTACAAGTACATATGTACATGTCTTCAGATTTCGGTTGAAATCGGAGTTGAAAAACAAAGGATTCGTCACCTCAACTATATAAAACGTGCCCCCTATAATGGTTGATTCTGTATATCGTGTTTATACTCTAGTGAATATATCATATACTCACGAGAGTATAGCGATATACAGAATCAACCATTATATGATCTTATTATCCCACCTTAAGTGCTTTATAAAAAGTCGAAGAGTTGTATACGCTGTCTGGGAGTTGTATACGCTATCCAGGAGTTGTTTATCGTTTTCAAGAGTTGTATACGATGGGTGTTGGTTTTATATTGCAGTTATACAATGCTATTATACAATCATATAAAGCACTTAGGGTGGGATAAAAGATGGTATCAAGTAAGGAAGATCAAGTCAGTGCATATCTGAAAATCATACATTGTTGTGTGCAAAATCATCATTTATAAGACCTAAAATGTGAAAATATGATAACAAATATAGGGTATAGAGCGAGGTAACGGTAAGGTACAGCACAAGGAATTTGATTTTGCGTTATACCATAGGCGTGGCCAGGGGGTGCGATGGGTGCCCCTCCCACATAACCAATACAAATGAACTCATGATGAAGAAGAAGAAAAGAGCTTTAAAATGCTTTTTATTCGAAGCTTATAGCTCAATTTTGAAGGAAGTTGCGTCAATTTTTGTAAAATTTAAAATAAATCCTATTTTTGACTTGTTTATGCCACAATCGCACCCCCTCCCCCCTCCTGACTGAAAACCAAAGTTTTTTGGCGATCGCACCCCCTGACTAAGCTGCGCGTTATACCGTATACTACAGTCGGAGCTCGTGTAGGTTTAACTATGAAATTCACGGTCAAGTTCACTCTCTTACATAAAAAAATATCTAGAAACTAGGCTAGATCTTTCTGAAACGATGAAGACATCAGTTTGCTCAATTTCCATACTTTATTCATGGCTATGTGTTGACTTTGTAGTTACAGCCCATTTTATTCTTTTATTGCGTCAATAAAAAAATATTTAGAAACTAGACTAGATCTGGCATCAATTTGTTCAATTTCCATCACCTTCCTGTTGTACCTTTACCCGGCGCGTTCAACTGTCACCATTAATGTGGTATTGTGATATTGCAATAGGACTACTGTGAACTTATACTTACTCATGAAGGTATAATTATTAGGAGGTATTTGCCAAGGTATTTTGGCAAAATACTATTGGACTAGAATGATAAACACACATATGGATAACTGTTTATCCGTTTATTCAATAAATTGAAGCAATTGTATAACATTTATATAAATTCGTATTATCGAGCCAACTGTCACCATCAATTTGGTACAGTGGCCAAAACAGTACAATTCACCTAAACTCAAAAGTATGATATTACCAAAAGTGGATAGTTGGAGTTGACAAGGACATTGCTAAATTGAAATGAACATTTGATTCAATATGATTAACAGTCATGGTAGAATCATTATTTACATTAGGATTAAATAATATTCGTTTGAGGAGATCGTTAATCTTGGAATGGGCCAAACTTGAGTCTAGGAAGGACTCGATGAATAATGACGTTTTAAAAGTACTGATTGACAAAAAAGGTGGGGGGATCAATGCAGTTGATCAATTTGGTGATAATGCACTAATGTATGCCGTACGTAATAATGCAACAAAATGTGCGAAGTTGTTACTTGACCATGGTGCTAATGTAAATGCTGTTAACAATAATGGTAATACAGCATTAATGTATGCAGCATCAGTTAACAGTACAGTAGACTGCGTCAAGTTGCTCATTGCATATGGTGCTGATATCAATGCTAAGAATAATGACGGGACGACAGCTTTAATACACGCGAAACCTGAATGTATGTGCATATTAGTTGATAAGGGGGCGGATGTAAACGCCATCAATAGAATAGGACTTACAGCTCTCATGCGGGCGTCAAGATTCAAAAATACAGCGCCCATGGAAGCGTTATTGCGTTTTTTTAAGCGTTTTTTTAAGGAACCACGCCCCGCCATAAATCATCATACCGTGAGCAAAGCTCTTATGATATCACGTCCCCTTAAGAAAAGATGAACGATTTGTTTTCTGTAATGACAATCTTTACTTTGTTCTTTATACTTTATTCATGGCTATGTATTGACTTGATAGCTAGGCAAAATATATCGAATTCCAATCGTTCATAACGACAGTATTTCAAATTAATAGGCATACTATATTTTACAATATTGCCACAAGGAGGGTAGATCCACAGTGGTATGCAATAATGTTACATTTTACCACCAGCTTATTAATCAGAGCATGTCAAGAAGTATCTGGCGTTATCAATTGTTGGCGACATGTAAGCGATTGTACATGTAGTTAGTGGAATAGTTCCAAAACCTAAGTTATCTGAAATCTGTATCCGTTTAGAAGCCATGCAAAATCCAGCAGAGTTAAATTACTGGGTTCACCATACGAATCAAATCAGTTGAACAACGAGAAAAATCTGAGTTCATATCGATGTCATTATTAATGCCGAAGTCTTTATTTGCTCCGATTTTTACTGTGGCGCCTGGCCGATTGAGTATTTTGTTTACAAAATTGCCACAATTGTTTACAAAATACACATCGGCCAGGCGCCAGTGCTGAAAATCGGAGCAAATGTGCCCACGGCATTAAAGTGAACAATTTGAGGCGATTCCGAGTAGAGGCTAATAAAATAACAACATTTAAAAGAATTTTTCACACAACTATTTTTTGTCGAGTTGTTTTCCAATGCTGTCTTTTTTAACTTAGCCATTTCTTAATCGTTCTTAATACTAGTCTTTTTCTTTCTTAATACCGTGTCATTTTCTTTCTTAATACTGGGTCATTTTCTTTCTTAGAGAAAAAATGTTTTCATTTTTTAAAGTTTAGAAAATTATATACTGTAATTTTTGCATTTTCAAAACACCCCGAATCAAATCGTCATGTAAAACAGATCAAACAAGATAAACATCTGGTCATGAAGATAGAAGTGGTAGGACTACTGTGAACTTATACTGACTCATGAAGGTATAATTATTAAGAGGTATTTGCCAAGGTATTGTGACAAAATACTATTGGACTAGAATGATAAACACACATATGGATAACCATTTATCCGTTTATTCAATAAATTGAAGCAATTGTATATACACGTCGCACGAAACTGGCAGTAGGACGACACATTGCCTTAACCCATCAGTTTTATGACGTGCACATCCGCATGGTACTATATCTTTACAGCGGGGATTTCAAGTTTTTGTCAGTGCAGACATAGAAAGTTGCGGTTCTCATACGCGCGCGTTTTTTAATATTTTCATTTGAAACTTGCAGGAACGGTGCTTTGAATCTAGCTCTCTACTCTTTGAAAACGTCATGTATAATCAATACAGTTGAACTATTTATTTTTTGTCGTGAAAATATTATTTTTTTAGTTTATTTTTATTTTACAACTTTTTGGGAAAAAATGTAACAAATTTTTATTTCTTGACATATTTATCGGATATTTTGTCATCATGAAATTCGAGATTCTTTTTAATGATGGTGCAAATTTCATAACAATTGATGAATTTTTATTATCAGTGTTATGTTTTCCAAAAACGGTGTACCACTGTGCTTGTTTCTTTAATTGACGGCACATTTGCCTTTAATTGGGCGAACGTACAGGTCCCGACGCAATAAGCTTTATTTGATTTAATACACTCAAAAATAAAGTTTGCTATCAAATCGGAATATTCATAAAACATAAACCTTGCCTTTGTTTTCCCAATTCTAAAAGCAAGCCAAATAAACTATGATAATCGTTTGACTCTCGAGAAAACAGAACTTGAACTTGAACATACTAAAATCGAAGTTACCTATAGTTACGCTCGTAAAGTTAATTACATGTTTAACGGCCTGCTGAGTGAATGTATCTAATCAAATTTGTGACATACCCATAAGATCGTAAATCACAATTCTAAGTTAAAAATGTAATTTGGATTCGTAAGAAGTATTTCTGTTTTAAACTTACCTTTGCTGTCTGAAAAAGATCAATATTCATAGACGGGGATGTTGAAACCTATATTTCCTTTGAATGACCTGCATTTGTACTACGAAATGATCCTGTGGAGAAAAGTTGATGAATTCCAAACAGCTAGTTCTAGCAAATCTACTGGTATAAGCTTACTTTCTAAAAGTATTTCAATGTTAAAAATATCTATTCAAATGTTTCACTTTTAAAATGATATTGGCTTCCCTTAACTTAAATATGTGACTAATGAAGAATGCTTTTTACCACATCAAACTTAAGACGTGAACTTGACAATTACTCGATACATGATATAACGCGATTTTCTTTCATTTTCTACAAAAATGGTATGTTTTCAAACGGTCACTTATGTTAATCTATGACCGTGGTATGATTGAAAATGAAAGAACTGAACCAAGTATTGTCGACTTGTTTGAATTATAAGATTTATTTTGATTGATTTAATCTCTTCTTGAATTTTAAAACGTTTGTCCGAATTACATCTGCTATGGAATTAAAGTTCAAATATACCTCAGAATTGCTTATTGAATTAACCTAGCAATTAATTTGAAAATAATTCTGTACATAGGTTATATATCATAGATCATAGATATGTAAAAAATGAAAATGTGTTTTGAAAGATGAATTGATAACAAACGTTTTCGCACACGTGCCATTTCCACTTTCAGCCCACTTAAAGCACGAAATCCCGTATGACGTAATATAACGAAAATGCGCAGATAATTGATATTTTTTATTTTAATTCAACTCACATTGACCGTTCAGTTATGAACGTGTTTAAAGTTATCATGTTAAAATAAATAAATATGTATGTGGAAAGGCAATGGTTTAAAGCTTATGAAAATGTCAAAATCATAATTCAGTTTTTAAAATAAGATATTGACTTGCATTCACGCACATGTGACATTATCTCTTTTTGTGCGATTCAAACATAAAAATCTCATTACAGTTGTACATAAGAACCAATCTTAGCCATGCCTTTCTGAGTAATAAAAGGAACTAAATTTGAATCAAAAAATAATTCTGTGTAAAGATGATTCCCCATAGATATAATAAATGTAAAAAATTTTATCAAAAATTAAATACTCACACACGCTTTTAAGCACACATGACCTTTTCCAGTTTTGCTCATTTAATTTACCTTGAAAACCAAGGAGACCGAACGCAATTTCTAAATACAACCTTGATACGTGTACCAGGTCTATAATTGCAATTTCTCATGGAAGGAACTAAGCAAAAATTATAAAAATAATTCTGCGTAGAGGTGATGCTTCACAAATAATATTAATGTCAAAAAATTAATTCATTTCTTCAAAATTAAATACTGACACGCATTCACGCACACATGACCTTTTCCAGTTTTGCTTATTTCATCTACCTTGAAAACCAATGAGACTGGACGCAATTGCCAAATACTTCTTTGATACGCGTGCCAGGTCTATAATTGCATTTTCTCATGGAAAGAATCAAGCAAAAATTATAAAAATAATTCTATGTTAAGGTGATGCTTCACAAATAATATTAATGTCAAAAAATTAATTCAATTCTTCAAAATTAAATACTGACACGCATTTACGCACACATGACCTTTTCCAGTTTTGCTTATTTCATTTACCTTGAAAACCAATGAGACTGGACGCAATTGCCAAATACTTCTTTGATACGCGCGCCAGGTCTATAATTGCATTTTCTCATGGAAGGAATCAAGCAAAAATTATAAAAATAATTCTATGTGAAGGTGATGCTTCACAAATAATATTAATGTCAAAACTTTAATTCATTTCTTCAAATCCAAATACTGACACGCTTTTACGCACACGTGACCTTTTCTTCTTTTGCTCATTTTATTTATCCTAAAAATCAGTGGGCCTAAATACATTGTCCGATACTTCTTTAATACATGTCAGGTCTAAAATTGCAGTTTATCATGAAAGAAATCGAACAATTATCATAAAAATAATTCTGTGTAAAGGTGATGTTCTTCAGATTATATAAACATCAAAATTGTAATTCATTTATTGAAAGTTAAATATCCACATGCTTTTGGGCACACATAACCTTTTCCCTTTCGTTCATTTTATCTATCTTTAAAATCAGTGAGCCTGAACTCATTGCTAAATACTTTTTGATACGAGTCAGCTCCAGGTCTAAAATTGCATTTCATCATGGAACAAATCGAGCAATCGTTATGAAAATAATTCTGTGTAAAGGTGATGTTCCAAAGACAATATATATGTCAATTTGATAATTCAGTTACTCAAAATGAAATATCCACATGATTTTACGCACACATGATAATTTCCTGAATGACGCTACTTTTTGGATTCAACCATGCATATAACGTCGTAAAATACACATTTCTACCGAAATTATGCCCAGCCGTTTTCGAAGAAAATGTAACAAATGAAGGCATTTTATCGGAACTGGTTGATATTTGGTACTTATAGAATATCGATTTACTTTAACTTTTTAGCGATTCAGACATTTAAAAAAATTATGTTTAATCAATGTTAATTTCGCACGAATATAGGGTACAAAATGAGTGAAAGTATCACGTGTTTGATTGCATTTTACCCCCATTAATGTGCATTTTTCTAATATTAAAATGAGATAGTTGGAAAGAAGAGATCAGTAGAATTCTATCCGTCACTTTCATTTTCAAATGTTTAAATGTTTCCCGTTTCATTGGACCTCATAAAGATGGTAGCCAACGGACCAAAAACAAGTAGTGCGATGACGTCATATATCGCTACACCACTTTGATATAAAGTTTGGTAAACAACAATGGGTTTTTTCAATGTGTCGTCCTACTGTGGGGACAATTGATGATTTGCGATCACCGAATGGATTCTGTCTTTTAGTGACGTCACAATTAGGTCACACAGCTTTAGATGCTTGATTTTGAGAGATTATCTTCTATATTTCGTGCTTTATTGATTTATTTTTCACGAAAGCGTTCTATTTGACTAGATCAACATTCATGCTAAGCACATACCAAGTCTAAGGTCTTACTGACATGATTTAGATAGCGGTTTAGCGCCCCCCGATTTTGACAAAAACGGGGGGCGCTTATAGGCATCGATGTTTAGTATGAATTTCACCCAAACTTCGCATATATATAGACATACTCATGATCTAGTCAAATAGGCATACCTGGTAAATATCCGACCCATGGTTTTTATATAAGAAACGACAATATTTTTAGCTCAAAACTGCCACGTGTCCGCCATTTCGTGATTCCATCATGTCTAATATCATTTCTATATGACGTCATACCAATAAGACGAAATACGTGACAACAGTATCCATAAACAAAATTCCTGAATTCTGATCGCAAAAGGTCAATTAGCGTAACATTATGGCGTCAAAAAAACAAAACAAAACAATGAGCAGTATAGGGCGCAAACAGCCTTACAACGTCAAAAACGACAAGCGTCACATTTTTTACAAGTTTAGTCAACCTAAAAATAAAATACTTTATCCTTATCTAATCATTACAAAATTTACAGGGTAGCTAGATCTCGAGGACAATATTTCTAAAATGTTTTTGAATTTTGAAAAACGGTCAAGAAATCCACTTGGGGCGTTAGTAAAAATTGATATGTATGGAATTTGTGGTAAAAAATCGATGCGTCACATTTTTTCAAGTCTCGAAAACCAGCTCTTATTTTGATATTATTTGCAAAATAAACAAACCGGTTATTGTTTTGTTAATTTCGCCATGACAATATTGTGCAGTTAAATTTTCTTTCAAATCAGACCTAAATTAGAAGGTTAAATGAAGGTATACTTATTGCTCGTCCCATTCGCCTTCAAAACCTTACACAATTTTGAAAATTTTAAAAGCGTTCGTATAAGATAATTTGAAATGTAGCCGTTAAGCAATTGTGACGTCATGAATGCAAATGTTCCATTGAATAAATTGTGAAATTTAAGTGGGATTTTGATCATTATTTCAAAAGTTATCTCAATTTCAACGAGCCCTGTAAGCGTAACGTGTTACGTCTTACAGCGTATTTGACGATGTCGGAGTATATTTAACTTTAAAAATGTGTTGGATCCCATCAACATTTTGAAGGAAAAATAATTTCATTGAAATGCGAATAAAAAATACTTCAAAATGATATGTAAAACACATAGTTGGCTTTTTAAATAAGGCAGAGATTAACGTTCAAAGCTGAGATAAGCCCGCATTTCCCGAATTGTCCCCAGGTCCGTGCACGTCATAATAACATTTATATATATTCGTATTATCGAGCCAATATTTAACAATGGCCAAAACAGTACAATTCACGTAAACTCAAAAGTATGATATTGCCAAAAGTGGATAGTAAGAGGTGACAAGGACATTACTAAATTGAAATAAACATTTGATTAAATATGATTAATAGTCATGGTGGAATCATTATTTACATTGGGATTAAATAATATTAGATTGAGGAGATCCTTAATGCTGGAATGGGCCAAACTTGAGTCTAGGAAGGACTCAATGAATAATGACGTTTTAAAAGTACTGATTGACAAAAAAGGAGAGGGAATCAATGCAGTTGATCAATATGGTGATAACGCGCTAATGTATGCCGTACGTAATAATGCAACAAAGTGTGCTAAGTTGTTACTTGATCATGGTGCTAATGTAAATGCTGTTAACAATCATGGTAATACTGCATTAATGTATGCAACATCAGTTAACAGTACAGTAGACTGCGTCAACTTGCTCATTGCATATGGTGCTGATATCAATGCTAAGAATAATGACGGAACGACAGCTTTAATACACGCGAAACCTGAATGTATGTGCACATTAGTTGATAAGGGGGCGGATGTAAACGCCACCAACAGAATAGGACTCACAGCTCTCATGCGGGCGTCAAGATTCAAAAGCACAGCGCCCATGGAAGCGTTATTGGACAAAGGTGCTGACGTAAATGCGAATAGCAATGCTGGAATGGACGCACTTTTCTTCGCTGTGTGTCACGACAAACCTGACTTAGTACGTTTGCTTATCAAGAAAGGTGCCGATGTTAATAGTTCAGGTCCGTATAATGAAACGGCATTGATGCGTTCTGTATGTAGTCAAAATCAAGCCTGTCTTGTACAGCTGCTAGCAAATGGTGCAGATATTAATAGGCTTGACCATGGAGGGAAAAATGCTTTGTCGATTGCATTTGAGTATGCAACATTTGGATTAGAAACATACAAAGACATCTGCATACTTGCCTTGTATGGAGCCCCATTTGATTCTGAACAGTTAATCGCTTTTAAGAAGCTCATATGTAAGAGTAGATATTCAAAACTTGCAGTGACACTGGAAGATTTTAAACAAATGGACCTCCAACAACAAGTGAGACTCCGTATGTATCAACACACCACGCGTGTCTGTCGGAACTCACACGCTGAAACAATCGATGCTCTCATTAAAGGAGGTAAACTCCCAGAGAGATTTAGGGCATTTATGTTGTTTGAAGATGATATTAAAGATATATTAAGTGTTGAGATAGCCGAGGAGAAAATTCAAGGGTTAGGAACCACGCCCCGCCATAAATCATCATACCACGAGCAAAGCTCTGATGATAACACGTCCCCTTAAAGAAAAGATGAACAATTTGTTTTCTGCAATGACAATCTTTACTTTGTCTTTTATGCTTTATTCATGGCTATGTATTGCCTTGATAGCTAGGCAAAATATATCGAATTCCAACCATTCATAACGACAGTATTTCAAATAATAGGCATACTATATTCAACAATATTGCCACAAGGAGGGTAGGTCCACAGTGGTCAGTGGCGGATCCAGGGGGGCCATGGGGCCCACCCCCACCCACCCCCCTAAGTTGGGCCCAGAAAAAATTGGGCCCAAAGAAAGGCCCACTTGCTTCCCAGATCCGCCCCTGGTGGTATGCAATAATGTTACATTACACCACATGCTTAATCAGAGCATGTCAAGTTTCTGGCGTTAACAATTGTTGGCGATATGTAAGCGATTGTAGCTCGTGGAATAGTTCCAAAACCAAAGTTATCTGCTATCTGTTTCTTTAGAAGCCACGCAAAATCCAGCAGTGTTAAATTACTAAGTTCATCACACAAATCAAATTAGTTGAACAACTGCAGGATAAATCTGAGTTCAAATTTATGGCATTATTACTGCCGTGGGCACATTTTCTCCGATATTTACTATGGCGCTTGGCCAATTGAGTATTTTGTTCAAACTTGTATTCAATTTTGAACAAAATACTCATCGGCCAGGCGCCGGTGTAAAAGGGTAGGTGGTCCTATGAAATTTTGGTCCTACTCTCTATTGATTTATATGGTGACCTAATTACAACTATTTTCCTTATTATTCATACACAGTCAGGGCCAGTAAGGGCCGCTAGGATAGGGGACCATAATCCCCAGTGGACCATAATTTCTTTCACACCTGTACTGAAAATCGCAGCAAATGTGCCCACGGCATCACTTTAGAGTGAACAATTTGAGGCGATCCCGAGTCTAATAAAACAGCAACTTTAAAAAGAATTTTTCACACAACTATTTTTTGTCGAGTTGTTTTCCAATGCTGTCTTTTTTAAGTTAGCCATTTCTTAATCTTTCTTAATACGAGTCATTTTCTTTCTCAATACCGTGTTATTTTCTTTCTTAATACTGGGTCATTTTCTTTCTTAGAGAAAAAATATTTTCATTTTTAAGTTTAGAAAATTATATACTGTAATTTTTGCATTTTCAAAACACCCCGAATCAAATCGTCATGAAAAACAGATCAAACAAGATAAACATCTGGTCATGAAGATAGAAGTGGTAGGACTACTGTGAACTTATACTTACTTATGAAGGTATGATTATTAGGAGGTATTTTGACATTGTTTACATTTCAATTACAGGGACAACGTACATTGGAGATGACAACGTACATTTTTGATTTTTTAAATTATACCAAATACATGAATATTTATAAAACCTTCAACCATCTTAAATTGTGTAGTTTAGAGAAACATATTCTCATAAAAATATTCAGCACTCTTAGACGACAGGGGAGAAAATGATCAAAACACATTTTTCCAACCGACAAATTGCATGGGTAGATTAAAAACGAAAAAATCGAGCAGTGCTCGAAAATGTTTTAACGTGATTAGAAAGGTTAATGTCTTCCAAATCGAATAAACACGAAATCAAACATGAAATCTTTGATGTACTCCTCAAATTAATCCATCAAACATACATCATAGTTTTTGCTTCAAATCAGTTAAAACTCGACTATTGGATGGGAAAATACGACGAAGATATGGAAAAGAAACAAAAAGAACTTGATATTCTAAAAGCAAATAAAGCAAAAGATTTAGAGAGACTGCAAGACCTAACAAAACAGGTATGATCTAAATGACTAAATTTAGAGGCTGACGGTAATTCCGGTTATACGGTTTCGGTACGGAATTGAGCATTTACCGGGATTGAAATTATTAACCGGTTAACCGACGATAATCCCCGGGGAAATAAAAGACACGTCGTTTTTTAATTATTTCGTTTAATTTCCACTTTCACGATGCGTACATTTACATAGACATTTAGATGTCCATGTTTGGCAGTTCAGGTGTGATGTTCATGTTTGGCAGTTCGGGTGTAGTAGCTTCATGCTCAGGCTCAGATTTGGTTGTAGTTATGTTTGGCAGTTCCTCTGTAGTTGTAGTGTCAACGTCAGATCCAGAAACTGAATTATATTTGTAATAGTCATTTACGAACAGCAAGGCATTGACAACCTCAGGTTGAAGTCGTGCCCGTTTGGAAGTGATGGTGCCAGCTGCACTGAATTGGCGTTCACTTGACACGGATGATGCAGGAATAGCATTTCGTATTATATTTGTAACTTTAATATTGTGTGATAGTATCTGAGCTTTTAATTGTGAACAACATAAAGTACAAGCTCTCTGCTGTTTTAGCAAACAAATAAATAAAAGAATCTGAACTCCCGTGCCTTTCGTAAGTTTTAATTTTTAAATTTAAATATAAACGAAATATATATTAACATACGTTGGCCATTAGAGTCGTTATCATCTTTTTGTAAGTCGGATGTAGGAGGGTTGCTATAACGTATGCATATAGACTTGAGAAGCTACGGAGAGAGTTAGGAACAAATTGGGGGGTGGCAGCGCATTGGCATTTTATCTTACATATTTCTACCGGTATTTCGGTAACGGTACGGTTATTAGCGTGAAGGTTACCGGTACTGGTCAGTGGCGTATGAACAATGTACGCCAAAACGCCAGTGCGTAGTGTTGAAAAGTGAGAATAAAAAAGACTTTTTAACTTTCCTATGTTCTTTAGTCATATTTTCTCATTGTTTAAATTGTAAAAGTAATCTCGAGCACACTAGCTTAAAGAAATGTTTTGTTGATACCATATCATTATTGGTCTGTCTGGCAAATATCATTTAACAGATTGAATTCCCTTACCAACATGCTTTATTTCATGAAAATCGAGCCACTATTGACTGTCTTATAAATACAATTTCGCCAAATATTCGTGAATCGCGTTCTCTTCACGAATTTGAGAGGAAAGCTGTTTTTTTTCAAAAACTACTTGATGAATACCTTTGACATTTTTTCTGCATTTTCCGTAATGCTTATGCTTACTATGGTATCATATAATTATAATGATGAACCTCTTTAAATTTAGATGTATATTTTTTTTATTCTCCCCTGCCCCAATTTTTCAATTTCACTATCGATTTATATTCCGTTGCTATGCAAAATCATAGACACGAAATTATAGTTAAGTCAACAATTATCTATTTTCTTATTAAATCACTATTTGTTATTGGTAGTACTTTTTGAAATATGGATGTTAAAGACAAAAACAACTTGAAAATGCTGATTATTCAATTACACGTTCCATTGATTTCAGTTCTAGAAAAGCGATAACCTAGTTTTTTTTCATTTGACAAATAATAGATTCTTGTTTTATAACATTTTTTGGCATCCCCTAAGTCACGTTGACCTCGATTTGACCTTTGTGGTGGGTGTATTTATTTGTTTCATTGATCACGAATGCGTTTCTTTATATCAATTGATCAAACTAGTTTCTTTAATCTGTACGTATTGTATCGCACGGTACACGATGGAATCCGACAATGCTATATATCTTCAGATCTTAATTCAATTATTCGAAAATGATTAAAAAATCTATAATTGTTTTTTGGAAATTGGTCGTCTCAATCGTTCGAGATATTAGCAAAGTGAGAATGGTTTGTGTCGAGATTTAAAAGATAGGCTTTCCAAGGTGATTTTAAATGATGAAAATCATTCGAACATTTTAAAGCACATTAAAAAGGTATCGGGGATTTAAAGCTTGCATATGAAATCGAAACGCCAACCTATACGTATGACCAATCGCCCATACAAATGCATCGCTTAAGTATTTCCGTTCACATTTAGGTTGTGAATATTGCAAGCTTGAAATCTCTGTTACCATAAAATGACGTTTTACGAGCATAATATAGGCGTTTTGATATAGAATATTGAGACAATTGTTTCATATTTTTTTGGCGGGATTTTTGGCGTAGTGTTGAATTTACACCTTCCTACGCCCCTGCTGGTTTTCAGTACCGTTGCGACCTCTAACTAAATTTCATCATTTAAGGCATTATTTCAATGGAGTATTGAGACAATAATCATACCCAATATATTTTTCTTTTCCAGTACGCAGAATATGAAAAAATTGTTGTAGAGGATCGGTTGGAGAAAGAAAAGGGAAGAAGGAAAGCAGAGCAAGAAGCAGAGGAGCTAAGAGCTGCCATAAAAGTAAGGAAATATTTAAATTAGATGTCGTCAGAAATCATTAGGTAACAGTATTTGAATTTTTGACAGTTCTATACCATATAAAAAGTTTCTTTTTGTTTGCAGACCATTGCAGGGATTTTCAAAACTATGATTATTTACATGGTATTCTTTGATTTCAGTTGCAAGCCTAGTTCAGGGGAGTCATGGTGAGAAGAGGCCTGGGGCCTTATAGCAAAAGAAAAAGAAGGCAAAGAAAACAAAGAATAAGAAGAAAACAAAAAGGCCTGGCGGTTAACTTTTTGAGAATTCTGTTGATTTTAGATTTAACTATTTGACATTCTAGACAGCATTTTACCAACCCTGGTATTTAATTACTGTAGTCAGGTGTGTAGCTAGGAGCTAAAAATAAGCTAGGGAAATTGGCGAGGAAAAATTGAGTAAACCGAGGAAATACCATCTACATAATTCAAAAGACATCCGGCAATTCAAAGAAGGACTGAATTGATATTTCCTGTAAAATTTTGGCGATATTAAATTTGTTGAAAATTGATAGCTGCAAAATTTCAAAATCGCAAAAAAACATGAAATACATGATGCATAATAGCGTCAAATATTAGGTTGGTATTTTTTTGTCTTGCCCTGTACCTATGTAAAGTCAAATTAACAATAGAGGCTGTGCTACATAGCTTAGGAATCTTGAAGTTACTGGTTCTTATTAGAGAAAACTGGATGAGGCATTCATAAGTACAATGTGGGAGGGGGGGGGGGCTATTTAAACTTTTGAATAGTTTGCATTCATAATAACGCTTTTCAATGTCCCACTATTGACTGGTGAATCTTAGCTTGTATTCACGAATGCAACTAACGGCTGTCGGCTACCGAATTAACCACAATTTACTATTTTATGGGTAACTCATTTAAATATGAATATTACCTGCCACAATTCCATTCATATTTAAATGAGTTGGCCATAAAATAGTAGGTTAATCTGGTAGCCAGCAAGCATTAGTTGCATTCGCGAATACAAGGTTAGATCTACAGTAGAAGAATTACCGATAAAACCTATATTAGGCCTATATCCTGTATATTGTATTAAACAGGTATGAAAAAATGAACATTGCATATTATGTTATACCAATAAACACAAGTTTGTTGTTTTTACAATTTTTATTTATTTTTTACATTTCTGTACAGTTATGTACACCTTACTAAACAAGAGGAAAACGTTTACAGCTTTACAAACAAAAATTTACAGAAAAGAGATAATGCTGAATAAAATCTGAGAAAAGTGTAATAGTAATTCGTTAGTGCTCCAGTCTGTATACAGGGTGACCCCAAACAGGTCATGCCTTGATGAAAAACAGGATTTTCTTAATTTTAACACAATTATTCCACAATAAGAGGGTCATATGTTTGGGACCACCCTGTATGTAAAACTGATCTCAAGCCAGGATTATAAAACACACGAATCATGTTGAAAAAAAACTAAAAAGGAACCGGAGTCAGTTTTTAAAAAAATATTGAAAAATCCACTATTTGCATCATATTTATTCCAGGAAAAGTCTATCCATTTCACCAGTCTAATATGAGATGTGGTAAACTTGAGAGGAAATTCCACATGTGGGACATATCCTTATAGGATTGAAGGTCCCAGAGATGAGCAACTACAATCTTGATTTTCTAATGTTCCTGTATATCCATCTATCGCATGAAGATATCTGTATTACGGAAACTAGAATTATCCCTGAAAATATAACAACATTCAAATTAACGTCAATCAATCTACAATCCAGGAATATTTCATATAAGAATAAATTTTGAGATAGGCTCAGTATAGTGAAATCAATAGCCAATCAACTTGAGTCCGCAGCTTAACAAAATCAATTATAGAAAATCTACAATGTACTGCTTATCCCTATATTTTTTGCAGCATATTTCTCTTGATTTTAGGAAGTTACAGCCACTCTACTGTTGCCGTAGATTAAAAATGACGGAGGTTTAAATCTGATGTAATAGCCATACAAATTACTTGTTACTGTAAGAGATCAATACATGTAGGTATTCCTAAAGAGAATATTTTGTAAAGTGCTCCCAAAATTACAATTAAATTAAATAAATTATTTTAGTTTGTCATTAAATGCTGTCTATCTAAAGGCACTGGTGGAACGAAAACATTTTTGAAAAAATTGCTATACCTGTACACGTTATTTACTGGTACAAAATTAAGTATGAAAGCAGGTATAGCAATTTTCAAAAATATTTTCCTTCCATCGGTACCTTAACGTGAGATTTTCCACTTACTTTAAACTGTCAGTGTGCGTCTTGTATTCCATGATAGTGTTTGGAGGGAGGTTCAGTACTCGTTTCAATGTGTCCCTAATACGTGATGTTGTATGGATATCACTGGCTGTTCTGTTCCAAAGTGATAGAATGTCCTCCTATAAAATAATGAGAAGACAATTAAGAGAATGTGTCCCTAATACGTGATGTTGTATGGATATCACTGGCTGTTCTGTTCCAAAGTGATAGAATGTCCTCCTATAAAATAATGAGAAGAGAATATTCTCAAGAAAATTATTAGAGGTAAATGTAAGTTATAACTTGGTAGTGTTTAAACATAACATTCTTTTTAACCTGTAATAGCCTATTAATAATCATATTGAGTCGTTATTCATTGAGAAAATCATATTCTATAAACAAAATGTCAGTACTTTTGACTTCAAACGATAAACCCCTATGACAAAGAATGCCGAATGCTGAACACCAACCGCCATCCACAAAAAAAACAATATGTCTCCGCTAGTGATGGTGACATAAAAACCATTGGCTACTCTGCAACCATGGCCTGCCTAATCAAATCATCCCAATTAGTCATACATACCTGATATCTTATAGAAATAACAGCTCCACATATCTCCTCTCCAACCATAAATTGCTCTCCAACCATGGCCATTATCAAATTCTCCCAACTCCTGGATGCAATTCCCTTCTTTAACCTGATGATCCATTTGCCACCATGTTTATTAGCTTCATCCTGAAATATATGAGGTACATTTGAGGTAAGGACTGAAATATATGAGGTACATTTGAGAAATGTGCATTTTGTGACTTACATTTGAAATATGCATTTTATGGGCCGAAATAAATGAGGTGTATTTGAAAAAAGTGCATTTTTGTGAGGGCTGAAAATATGAGGTAAACATAAGCAGCACTTTCCATAAGGGCAGAAATATTAAATGGTACATTTGAAGTACATTTCTCTGTGCGTGTTTACAACTTACTTCCCACATTGGCCTTATTCCCTCTTTGAAGATGTGATAGTCGCTGTGTCCTGATAGATCACATGGTCGCACCATGTGACTGTACGCATGATGAAACTGCTCCACCTGGTGGCAAAATAGAGAACTTCTAATAACAATTTATTAATCATTGCAAATTGTACAACAAGGCATTAACATGACAAAATGTCACCACCTAGTTGCTCACAATATTGTTACAGACACTGATCACCAACTGCCGTCACAAAAAAAACGGAGGCCATAACAATATGTCACCACTTTTTGGTGGTGACATAAAGATCAAAAAGACTAAACAGCAACATCAAGTGAAAGAAGATGCATAGACATAAAGTTTCAGGATGATCCTTCCGATTTGCAATTCTGTTTTCAGTTAATAAAATAAGGCTTGAAGAATTGATTGGCATGAATTAGAAAATATTGTATCAAACATTTTACACTCTCTTATTTCTTATTCCTTCAAATCATGATTATATATTTTCAGACTATGTTCTTCAATAACAGGAATACAAACTAAAAAGAGATTCTCACTGAGGCACACGTAATGACGTGTTTGAGATTCTGGTCATAACTGGACCAGCTTTGTTTTCCAGGAGTCCTTCTTGAGAACCAAAATGCATAGTTGAATTGTAAAGGATGTTCACCAGGTCCTACTTTCACGACCTGAAATCAAACAAAAACATGAAATGGGTGTATGACAAATGAAGAAAATGACAATGATATTGAAAACATGATAATTGACATTTATGTGCGTTTGAGCACAGCGATATAAGCTCATAAATGATTTCTTTAGGCGTCGTGTCAATGGAACAGGTGTTCGAGTTGGCGTTGAGTTGTTTTGCATGAGTGTATGTTGGAACGGAGTGTAACTTCATTCTGAGCTTTGCCACACGTAACACGAGACAGTTCATTTTAATTAATTAAATCAAGATTTTGAACATTTACATGTCTTGATTGATCGCGTACCTTTACGCATTAATTTGAGGTTCTTAATGGCCGGGATCAATCAATTTCGATAAATGTAAAGGATGTGTCCGGGTATATGCCCTTTTGGTCCCTCAGTCAAATGTATGTTAAATATGTTTTTTATTACTGTCCTAGTTATATTTGATAAGTATATTTACTTTTTTACGAGTTTTGATGCATAATTAACCCCCTGCTGAGAGTCAGAATAAGTATCTTAACAAAAAAAAAATAGTCATTATCATAGAATAAAAACATCAATGGCAACATGTATGACTTGCAAAGAAGAAATAACTTAAGACCCATGAAGAATTTAAAAGAAAATCATATTTTTGAAATATATTTAAGGATTAAATTTTTTTTCAAATTTTTGAATTTCCCGCCAGTTTAATTTGAAGGGGGAAAAACAAGATGGCTGCCATTTGATGTAAGAAATATCAGAAAAAAAGTTGCTTCACTTTTAGTTTTCACAATGAGCACAGTTTTCCGGTTTAGGTTTTTTGACTGATTCTGACTCTTCATCACCAGGGTCATGTATAGAGATTATAAAATTGAAACCGGAATGTTGTGCTCAGCATGAATTTGACTGAAATATGTGTAACTTCACCAACACAATTGAAGTCTCAAAACTGGATGCTCAGTAACTTTGAGTGACTATAATCCCTTGATTACCCAGATAAACACCAATTCACTTATCCAGAAATGCCATTCAATGTCTATACAAAGAAAGTAAGAAATGTTTTGGAGGATATGATTCAAACCGTTTGTATAAATAATTCATTTAATATTTGCCATTGATTTTTTTTCAATTCTGACAAGGTGATATGCACTGTCTTTGATGCCAATATTCTTCATTAATTGTGATACAAATTGATATTTTTGTACTCTCAGAAGAAGGATAAGATATTGAACTTTAATAATATGTGTGATTGAGTTGGTTTTTCAGACATTACAATTTTCAATATTTTCTAAGTCGATACCCAGACTCATTCCCAGACTCATCCTTTAGCTGATTCGTCAAGTCTTAACGATTTCATTCAACGCTATTTCATGCTATTAAGTGAATCATGTAATAGGGCTACGTTTAGATCTTCAGTATCGTTACCTGCGCTTTTACTTAATGTGACTTGTATTTTCCATGTTCATAATACCATGCTGTACTTTTTGCAATAAACGAAAGTGGCAAGCTCACTTCCTTATAATTTGATATCGTTGTTCTGTTGCATCGAGCAAAGCAAAGAATGTCAAGTAGAAGTTGTCAAAGTTGTCACCATTTTGTTAAAGTATTTTTAGAAATAAAAGTACCGAACAGTTTTTTAAAAAGACACATATGCTGTATTGGACTTTGTTTATGTGTGCAGTAATTTTAACAGCTATTCTAGGTTAGAGTTGATCTCCGTACTTATCACATGAGCGTATCTTTACAGAGTAAAACAATCAAACGTCATTGCCATGGAACTTTGGAAAAGTATAATGTCACTATTAATTATTAACATCATTGCATCATTCATAAGACCGCAATGTTGACACAAAGACTCGATCAAAAGTCATTGTAGTGGAACTTTGGAAAAGTATAATGTCACTGTTGATTATTAACATCACTGCATCACGAGTTGCCACAAAGACACAATCAAAATCTGAACAAAATAGATAATATGTCTTTCACTTTCAAGGGGTGCAAATAGATTTACAGATGGGTCACAAATTTTCAAAATCTCAGTTGCAGTGTACTTTTTTAGATTTTTGATGGTACAAGAATGAGATCGATGATGTCCTTACTTTTTTCGATGAATCTTCATTTTGTTTGTCACCATTACTTTCTCCTTCCTCACCAGAGTCACTGTTTTCATTAGTCAGTCTGAAGCAAATAAACGGGAAAGTTAAAACCATGGCAGGAGTTTCGTTACCTGCATGCAATTTCCACTTAGTTATTTTCACCATATATGGACTTTTGCTTTCCAGAGATGTAATTGCCAAATGTATTTTGATGCTTTTCTGAATTTGACTGTATTGGGGATAACTCTTTATATTATAACGTCCATGTCATTTTGTTTTTGCTTGGGGTAACTTCAATGTATGAGGTAACTTCAACACCTTGTTGTTTATTTTATCTAATTTCCACTCTATAGGAGGAAGCTATGTCTTATTCTTATCGAGATCTCACAAGATTGTTTTTCAAAATCGAATATGGCATAAAACAGTAAAGAATCAGTCAATCTGCTAGTGAAAAGCCTAGGAAATCGATTATAAGCTAGAATAAGCTTATTTTCCATAGGCCAATGGAAAAAGGCTGTGTTTATGTGAGTTTTCATGATTTTTTGAATTTTTCAGAGTAAAAAATTCCAAATTTTACGAAGTTCAATATTTACAATTTACGCAATCAAGATACCACACGGATATCCAAAGGTCTAAAGAATGTATAAAAGTATACTTACGCATCAAATTTATTATTCATTATCGTCTAGAATTAGTAAAATAATAGTAAAATATGTGTGAAATTATTCGGAAATTTCAAACCGGAAGTTTTTTAATTGCTACTGGATTACGTTTCGTCGTCAGCGCCATCTACTACAACAAGTGCTTTGAAAATCTGAAATAATTGTTTTTCAGAATGCCTCTCCCAGCGGGTTTATTAGCAAGATTGAAGAAACGAGGTCTAGTCAAAGTAGATGACAATACGCCAGACGAAGGTGAGGAAGTGTTTGCGGAAGATTATGACGACGATGAAAGACCAAAACCGATACCTGAAGAAGAACCTATTGAAAAAGAACAGGAGACAGAATTTGATGAAAACAGAGAGCTTGTCCATGAAGTGTCTGCATGTCCCAATATCATGAATATGTACCACTCTTGTACAAAATTCTGCGAAGAAAGGTAAACAAATCTAGCCAAACTATATAAACCTTGCGGTTTGTGTAAAAAAACGGGTAGCCGGGTGACTGGGTACCTAACCATGGGCTCTACCATAGAGCCCATGGTTATAAAATGAATGATGATAGAGCCCATGACCTAACTAAAGACAGCGCTTTCAATGGTAATCATTTTATGCCTCAAAACGTCCAACTGACATCCCAATCAACGTACCATTGACACAACCAATCAAGCAAACAACCAAACAAGCAACAAAATTTATTTACCAATAAATCAACCGGCAAAACGACAAACAAAATTAATATAATGTCAATCAGTGAGGTAGATTTCTTTAATATCTAGAAGAAATCGCCATCATGGAAAACAATCATCGATATCCTGTCAATCACTCAGACAATAAATCAAGCAACTAATGTCATCTGTGCGTGTAAACTGTGTAAATAACTACCTAGGACTTCCGAAATTCAGTCTCTTACATGTTCTTGGTAAAATGATAACGTAAAAATATTGAAGGGTAGTCTACAAATGTGCAACTTTGAAAGTTGGTAACCCTGCAAGGAACGTTAAGTACCCGGTTACCCAGCCACCTGGCTACCCGGTCACCCAGTTTTTTACACAAACCCCAAAGGCAAGCAGTTGAACCTGAAAAATAAGATATCTATAGACCATTTTGATTATGCCATAATATATAGAAAAATATATTTATATTGCACACGAATGACATTTGTATATTTCAGATTATTTAATGTTTAGTGCAATAATCCTGTGCCCTCTTGTAATTTGAGGTCTGTCCGCCATGTTATTTTTTTTGAGAATTAACATGGTAGAGAAGCATCTAAATATAAGAGGTTACCGAGTTTATGAGCCAATTTACAAGCAATCCAACATACAAATGTAATTCGTGTGCAATGTGAATATATTTTTCTATATATAATTGCACAATATTATTTAGATTCCTTATATTTCAGGTTTAGCTGCTTGCCTTTGAAGCAGTGTATCAGACTGTATATGATCCTTACATACCAATATGATGAAAAAAGTTACTTTCATACCAAATTAAAAGTGATTTCCTGGTCAAACTTGCAAAAACTGGTCCAAATTCTCACTTGATCCATCCACTCTTTCAAAATCATGCAGTTTTCACCATTCTGAGCACTTTTTAAGTGTTTTTGGACCAAAATTGTCAACTCCTCTTCTTGCATCCTCCGAACACAGGCCTCAAGAACTTGTACCTCCTTCTTCCAGAAGAAGGAAGGAACTAAGTGGATGATGTCTGGAACCCTGCGTTTGGAGGATGCCCTTCTTGGAAAATCCTGGCTACAGGCCTGCATGTATTGTATACATAATATCCTTATCAGAAATTAAGGAGATGTTGATGTCTTTTATTGATGTCTATTTCAACACTCCTGTTTTTGTATGAAAAGCAACGCATGTAATGAACGTCATATTTGTTGTTGCAGATGGGGCAAGAAGGAATTCTCACCATCTGAGGCAATGATTCGTAGACGCGACAGAACCCTGACTGCACACCCACTCCCAGAAAAATGGCGTGAAGTTGCTGACACTGACACAAATCGCTACTATTATTGGAATGTCCACACTGATGAGGTATCTTGGCTACCCCCGACACATCCACGTGCCAAGGTCACCTTTCCCGCAGAGAAACTGAAAAACTTACTAGAGGGTAAAGAAAATGTTGATAATGAACCCGAGGAAGATGAGCAACCAGTTATGCCATCTATAGACGATTCTGATTTTGAGGCTTTAGAAAATCAAATCCGTCGGAAAGCACGGGAAAAGGAACAAGAGCAAAAGCGAGAAAAACAGAAGAAGGAACGCCGTGGAGAAAAACGTAAGAAAGCAGACGAAGATACATTAGACCCAATGGACCCTGCATCTTATTCTGATATTGCTAGGGGATCCTGGTCAACGGGACTGGAACGGGGAGGAGATGCAAAAACAGGGGTGGATTCTACAGCTTCTGGTCCTTTGTTCCAACAACGGCCTTACCCATCACCTGGCGCCATCTTAAGGGCAAATAGAAAACTAGAGGAGCAGGAATAATCTGCAAATTACTCAATAGATGGCATTGAATTTTTAAAAAGTGCTTTCCAAGACACTAGCGCCATCTTAGGGCAGAAGAACAGGAAGTGAAACTTTTAAACAAATTACTCAATAGATAGTAAAACTGTCTAAAGGGTATCTTCAATGACAATTGATGACAATATTTTAAGTAAACTGGGCTAAAATATTAAACAGCAAAGTTGTGAATATTTCTTCAACAATCTCAAAATATATCATTTATATACACGTACATGGTATATGTTATTTTAAGTTATTTGAATTTTCTGTGAGAACAAAAAATTGCTGAAGTGGCTCTGAAAAATATAAATGACTAAATATTGCAGTTCAACTAATTTCTGGTATGAATCTGAAGATTTTAATTCCATGTGATTTCAAGTTTCTTTTTGAAGTGTCCCTGATTTTAATAAAGTAGAATTAACAATACATGCAAAATGTCACCACTTGCAATTTGTTATGGACGCCATTTGTTTTAGGCCATGTTACTAACGCAGAGCGCCATCTTAAGAAAAAAAGTTGGAGACTAGGATTATAACAATATGTCACCAATTTGGCTGGTGACATAATAACCATACCACTGTATTTACTGTATACATGCATCTTTTGCCGAGAATGCTAGGCAGATAAAGTAAAAAAAAAAGTAATATCGAATTCGATTCAATTTTCTTTAATGAGTTTTTATTTCAGATAGCAGCATTACAATTACAGTAGATACAAGTGCAATTTCTAGTAAACAACATTGTACGAGGGTTGATCACCAATTCCTGAACCCTTTCCTCTGTTTTTGCCATTTTTATCCTTTCTTAGTGATTTTTTCACACAATATAACCCAAATATAAAGGATCACATTCTAAAGATTTTATTGTTGTATGACATCATAATCCTATTATTTTTGTTACCATGGTAACCGGTGATGCAACCACGTGAAAAATCAACGGTAATTTTATAAGATGTTTGGACATTCATTGCAGAATATTTGACATACTGTAATAGGTTGTATTATTTCATTAAGTATATTCATTAATGTTCAAAGTGTGTCATTATTCTTCCATAAATTGTTGTCCATAATCTTTACAACAGTCACCGTAATGTATACATAACTCATCACAGTGGCAGTAAAAGATCGTCGCATTTTCCATTGTTACTTTATCACTGCATCACTCTCGACAAGATCTTTTTGTATCATTACAATTAAAACCTATCTCAAAGCAGGGAAATAAACATCAGATTTCGTTTTGCGTGAAAATAACGTTTTGCGTTCTCCGGAATTATTTTCCAAAATGTTGAGCTCTGTGTCATCCCTAGAAGTTGTTCTGCTCTGAGTTTTACTGTTGATTTTGTAGCTGTAGTTTTGATTTTGTCTTTTTCAGAAAAAATTCAGATAGAAGCTCAGGATTGATCTAAAGTGACATTGCAAACCAAACTTATTTACTTTAGTCATTCGAATTAATATCAAATTAACTGCAAGTAAAGAGGTTTTTAGTGAAGATCTTTAAATAAAGAGGGCATACCAATCAATCTGTGTTTATTTAGGATATATGTTGCCATCCCCGAGGTACTATCAGTATTTACAGTAAATAAAAAATATCACTTGTGAGATTTCATTTTATTGTAGATGTTAAACTTAAACTGCAATTTTGTGACACTGTAATGTCGATCACTATCTGAAGTCCCTGATTGCATTACTGTACAAGTAAAACATTGCCTGTGGGTCTAAGCATATACTGTCTTTGAAGGAGCAACACTGTGGACATTTATATGGAGGGCTGGGTCACCTAGCAACTGGTTTAGGACGAGGTACTGCTCTGTCAACTTTTCCTGCGTTTATATGAAATGCTGGAGTTACCCAAGTCCCACATGGACATCGTTCACCTGAAAAAATCACAATATTAAACCAACAAACCATTTTTCTTTTATCACAATCTTAAAATAAAATTTAACTTTTTGAAAAACTTTTGGAAATGGTGTAGTAATCATATAAAATAATCTTAAACATGAATCATCCAGGTGTAGTTGAAATATAATATCAAATCCTATACTAAGGGATGTCAAAAAGTCTTGAATTTGGTGTTTTCAAAATGTTATTGAGGGCCTCCCTATACATACACCCCCAAAATGCAATCTGATTTTCGACGCTGTTTCGGTGCCAAATTTCGGGGCCGTTTCGCCACCAAATGGACTGACTAGTCGGTGGAAAATTTTGGTGTTGAAAGGTTTCTCTCAACAATTACAAATACAAAGTCTATGTAACGTGTAAATAGACTTCCCGGAAACCCTGCATACAGCATTTCTTTCAATGTTTAGTGCAGGATTTAATTATTATGGACTCTCAACTATTTACGTTAACAGTTTTTCATTGGATGTTGTATGCTTCATGGTCTGTGGAGAAAGTTCACTTCTTACCCATCCATTTGAAGGATCCTAGTTTAGCGCTGCATTTGGGGCACATTATCTGAAATATAACACAAATCAATGTAACATTGCACTTTGGGGCACACACAATCCACAAAAAGATAAAGACTTTAACAATATGTCACCACTTCTGGTGGTGACATAATAATTTAAAAAAAATGAAATAAAGAATATACTGTTGAAAATATATTTTTAAAAAAAGATAGGTTTTAAGAATACATAAAGTCCAAGACAAAACATTTTCAAAACCATCTCCATAAGGTCTAGAACTTGAAAGCCTCATCACAAGAATATTTTTCTCCTCATCTAACACAGGGGTTTAATTAGCAGCAGGCAACAAGCGATTTTCACCAGTTGTTTTCACAAAATCGCCTGTTGTTTTTAAGGACTTTTCAACTTTTCCATGTTAAATGTATGATTTCTATTAATTTTGCTTGTTGTTTTTGTTTATTAAGCCTGTTGTGAGTAATTCTAGAGAAACCCTTAACATTTACGACATATAATCTTAAGACATACCTTTCCCTCTATTTCTGAGATTTCATTTTCCATCCATTTGATTGGTTCAATGAATAAGCTCCTAGTACATGGCATGGGTGTGGTTGCTGTACATGTATCACCAACACGAGTGTCAATTTTGGAAGTGTCCTTTATCACATTTTTAATATTTGCATTGTTTTTCTCATCTGGTTGAGATACAGACATGTCCACATCAGAAGTGTCAAGTTTTGAAATAGCACTACTTAGTGTGTCATCACTATTGGAAGTGTCCACTTTGGAAGTGTCTGTGTCATCAAAAGAAGTGTCATTGATAGTTTGTGGAGTCTTCCAGTTGAGAAATGCGATCTGACCTTTGCCTTCATAGTGTGTCAGTAGAGCACTTCCTTTAAACAAAGGCCTCCTAAAATACAGTAACATCAGAAGTCACTAAATCATAGACGAAATATTTTTGCTAGTCATGCTTTGGGCACTTCTTATAGATAGAGTGGGGATTATTAAATACAATATATCAAAATGTAATTTGTCAGGAAATATTTCAATAGACCCACAAAACACAAGCTTTTAATGTATGCAAAATCTGGTTGTTTATTTGTTATTTTCAATGTATGAAAAACGAGAAAATTCAGTGAAAAAAAATTCTGAAAATTTTCTGAATTTTTTCACTGAATTTTCTTGGTTTTTATACATTTTATCAAAACATTCTTCTTTACATTCTTTTCTTGGTACATTAGTGCACTCGTTGTGCAATTTGAGGGTTGCAGCAATTTTCGGACATGCACCCTCACCCTAATCAATGAATTATCTCTAATTTAAAGAGTTACACAAAGTAATCGGAAGATTAATTATGAATGTAACTCACCTGCATTTTCTGCATTTGTAGAAACATTTAGAGTTAGCAGATCCTGACAGAAGAGGGTCGTCTCCCAGTGAACAGCCATCCATAGTATCACCATGGCTACCTGAAATATAAGTTATGTGGTAATATATGGTTTTGAATGTTAACTGGTGCAAAGAACAAATATTTCTTTTCATATCTTTATTGTTTTTCTTGCATCTTTATGCAATTATAGACTACATGCCTGTTTACTTTATTTCTTGCTGGTTTCACTCATTTCTCTCTAAAATTTGAATGAACTGTCTCATTTTCTTGCATTTCTATACAATTTAGAATGTTGACTACATGCCTGTTTACTTTACTTCTTGCTGATTTCTCCCTTTTCTCTCTAAACTTTGAATAAACTGTCTTATTTTCTTAGATTTCTTTATAATTTAAAGTGTTGTCTATGTGACTGTTTTCTTTATCCTTAACATACACCACTCTATCTTACTGTATTATGCATTTTAAAACATGACCATATATGGACATTTGTTGTACCTCTCTGCATCTTCAATGCCAGGTTCTCCAGCCTGTACTGTTTGTATTGCTCATGTTGGGTGTCTATCTTTCTATCCATTAACTCAAACAGCTGTAGTTGTGAGATGAAACCATCATTTGGCCTGGAAAGAAATTTACAGTGAAAAATAAAATCAGTATGTTCACTGGTACTGACCTAGTTACGCTGACGATACAACAGCGTAACAAGATGGAAGAACTTCCGGGCTTCGTTTTCGGAAAGATATGTGACAATATTCCTGAAGATCGTCAACATAACAAAAGCGAGGGACTAAATATGTAATTGCGTCTTTGTTAATATACCAAACATAGAATCACCTGCATATTCTCAAACTAGACTATCTTCCTTAACTTTGAGCCAAATTATTGTCCACAACTTGACTTATAAGTGGTAGAATCGAGAAATAAAAATATCTTACCGAAAACGAAGCCCGGAAGTTCTTCTATCTTGTTACGCTGACGTATCGTCAGCGTAACTAGGTGAGTACCAGTGATGTTATCAAATTGAAGCTGCACATATGTTTAAGTTTAAAATTAGGCCATATTACTAACTGATATACAGGGTGTCCAAAGAAAAACAGGACCGTAAGAAAGTTGAATAACTCGGTCAATTTTGCATATTTTGCCTTGAAATTTCAGAATTATTTAGTTCATTCAATGTGAATTTTGTTGTGAAAGTTTGATAATAATCTACCAATTGAGACAAAAACTACAGCTCCTTACAAAACATGCCCCAAATGTGCAAATCTCATCTCTATGCACAATTCAATCCGGTGAACAAAGCTGTTGATGATCCTCCTACACACATGTCTTTCCGAATGGACAAGTTTGTTCCAAGAACAATTGCTACTGGGGCTTACATCCTCCTGATGAAGTGTTAAAGCATCCATTGCATTCTGAACAATGCACTCCCTGGGTGGCAATGAGGAAACATGGAATCATCAGTCCCTTTTGGTTCGAAGGTGACTGGGGACTTGCTATCACCATGAACAAGGACCAGTAAGTTCTCACCAAGTTTTGGAGGTCTCTAAGCACCAGAAGGGACATCTAAAGAAATAATTAAGCAGTGGTTTCAACAAGCCAATACCACCCTAACACTGCAAATGATATGCTGAAATGGTGTAGGCAATGCTTTGGTGGTCAGCTCATCAGTTCATCAGTTGCAGAACGCAAACCATATGGGCAGCTCATTCGCCAGATCTAAATCCCCCAAATTTTTATCTTTGAGGATTTCTCAGAGCCAATGTGTATACTGACAGGCCCCTAACAATCTTAAGAGGGCAATAACTACCCCAATATTTACCATCCACATTAATGTGTTTAGGTAAGGGTCATTGACAACTTTGTTCACAGGATTCGTTTGTGCATAGAGAGGAGAAGTGCCCACTTTGAGCATGTTTTGTAAAGGACTGTAGTTTTTGACACAATAAACAGATTATTATCAAACTTTCAGAACAAAATTCACATTGAATGAACTAAATAATTCTTAAATTTCAAGGCAAAATATGCAAAATTGACTGAGTTATTCAACTTTCTTACAGACCTGTTTTTTTGGACACCCTGTATATATGATTTGTGAGACGATAATGAGTCCATTTATCATGGACTTTAGTATTTTCAGCAAAATAGACCTAATTTTCTAAAATGTGTATTGATATGTTATGAATTTTTGACTTGTCTAATTACAACCTTATTCCAAAACCTTGAGTAACTTTAACACTTGCTTCAATGCAAGAGAGATCACTGCTTATATACAGGCCCTATTTTCAAACAACTTACCTTATTTTCCTATGCTTTTTTATTAGCCCCACAGCCTCTCTAAGAGACAGGCCTTGTTTGTGCATTATGTACCCAAGCACAATTGTAGCACTTCTCGAAGAACCAGCAAAACTGGAAAAGATAAAGAAGTTTAAGTTATATTTGATTAATGACCAAAAACCATTTAAAGCTGATGTTCATTCTGGCAATTAAGTTTTTGAGCTTATCAGAACAATACATGCAGTAAAAATTATTGCACTTGAAATTCTAAATTGTCTCCCTGTTATTTCCGCAGCGTACTGAAAACTTTGACCAGATTTTGTCTCAGTCTGGTCATATTCAATTGTATGTGTTTTTATTAGAAATTTCAACAAAAATACATACATGATACATCCATGTTTATGCTAATTTAACGAATTTTACTGTGTATTAATTCAGATACCAAATAGGAATATGTATTGAATCTTACCAATGGACTAACACGCCACCTATTCCTAAGCCCTCCTCAATAAAATCAAAACACTCCTGGAAGTAACCGAGAAGATCTTGATCGTCCATATCCCTTGCATACACAAACTTGTATGCATAATTGCATGCATGGTCCTTAGTTATTGGAGTCATCTCAATTGTAAGGATGTGTGTAATTTTGTTGGTTTTGAGAAAATCATCATCATAGGCATCCCGTTGATCACCAATGTATAAACCTTGGAGTATCTCAGACATCCCTGTGTTATGTTTCTTGCCAAATGCTTGTTCTGAAAATAGTTAAGCAGGGCAATAGAATATTAAGAAATTCTCCATCTAAAATGTCACTCGACTTTTTGGCAATTAAAAGTCCCTGCCTGCATTTAGTAGTCATATATTGGCATGTGCATAATTTTGAAACCATATCCTAATTATTTCACAAACCCTTTGTTGATTCTGCCATAGTTTCCAATTTGTAAACAGCATTTAGCCTTTTTAATTGGGAACTTTTTTGAAATTTCCAAAATGGCTGCCATGTGATTCCAGAATTAACATGAGTGTGACGTGACATCACAGTTGCTCGTTCCTAGGTAACAACAAGATCACAATTGCTCGTTTCTAGATAGCAACAAGATTTTTGATAAAATGGCACAGAATTACCCTGATTAACACCCTAAAATCCGATTTTCAAAGAATATATTTGGAGAAACAATAAAAGGTAAGTGGAATAAATTAGAAGATGGTTTCAAGTTACCACAGAAGTCAATTTGAAACTCAAGAATGCTTTCTTTGACTCATACTATATCACAAAAAAGTCGAGTGACATTTAAGATGGAGAATTTCTTATATAAATATATTATTTCTCTTTGTCTTTGGATACATTAATACAAAATTGCTGTACATGCCCATGTTTGTCTACATGTACTTTTACATGGGATGGGAGAATTCACAACTCAATTTTTTTTCACTGCAGTTTTGCAATATATAAATCTAGTAGAACTCAAAGACTGTTAGAATCATCTTAAACGATAGTAAACATACTAAACTTAAGCAGATTAAAATTTCGTCGACCATTTAACATATACTGATTTGCTATTTGCAACAAAAAGAACTAGATCTAACAGGATTGAGATTTCTCACCACCATCTGTGGGCGATAATAGGGAACTTCCGGGCAACAAATGCCGGTCACATGACAGTCATATGACTTCACATCACGTTTTTTGATATACATTGAGTTAATAACCTTATTTACAAAAGAGACTTTTACATACATTCTCACTATTTAAAAATACAATTACATCAAAACGGTTATTTGGAAAACATTTATAAAGTTATTAACTGTTTTAAATTGGAGGAAATCTCATTTCATTTTGGATCTTCGAGGGAGTAATTTATTAAAAAGAACAGCCATTTTACCTGAAGTTGAAAAGATCTGCCAAAATGAAACTTTTATGTGCAATTTTCTTGTTTTCTGCGATCGTTATCGGTAAGTACAAACATTACTTTATTGATGTAATATTCAGTTTTATTGATGCCAAGATTAGTTGTAAATTAAGACTGATTCAGGGTAGAAATTCCAAATCAAAGTTCGAAATTGTTATGAAATTTTTTTTTTGATTTTTTTCACTTCAGAAAATGATGAAAAATGTAATTTTTTATCCAAAGACAAAACACTTCGCTCAAAGATGCTATAGACTGCACGATTTTCATTTTAACTTGAATGTTGTACAAGTGTCATTTGATTGTATCTTTTCATTTTGTTCTGTCTCGACTCATTTTGTGAGGTATGAAAAAGACGGACAAGTCTCTCCACAGTCGGGTACACGTGGTTGGCTGTCGGTCTTACATGATGATGAAAAGCTGAAAAATAAGTAGAGGAAACTAAAAAACTAGGAATCCAATGACTTTTACAAGGTCGTGATTAGAATGTGTTAAGCATGAAGAAAAACGCACCTGAAAAACGTAACATCGCCGTGGTCTGTAATGTAATACTTCTGGTAGTCACTTTGAATCATGATGATTTAACGCACGTAACATTACATTATGTTCAGTGTGAAAATAACAAGAAAACACACTTAACATTGCCAGTCTTGTAATCTCATTGTCAGCTTTTTAAAGATTAATACGCAATGTTTGATTTCTCAGTTGTTAAAAATCAATCTGGTAAAAAGTACATTTGATCTGACAAAAATAGCCTCCCAGTGGTTAGTTAGTGGTTAGCCTTATTAGTTAGTGGTTAGCCTTATTTCTTATCTGACAGATATTGTGGCCCACCCTAGGTTTAACGTCCATGCCTATTCTGCCCTTAATGCAAAAAATTAATGATGGCCTATAGCAGCGCATGGAATTCCATGCGCGTTTAAGTAATAACTGATTGTGAGAATTTGCTACCAACGAAAGCTAAACCCAATCACGGCAACAAGAACATTCAGATTAATAAATGAAAGCTGTGGTATTGGGTTTAACCTGTTGAACTACCCAGTCAGTGGTGTGTTAAATAATGGTAAGTCACTCTTGATTCTGACAAGGGAACACACGGTGTTCAGTAATCAGTATGACAATAACAAATGATAACAATTTTTTTCTATTACAAATATGTAATTTTCATTTAAATATATGAGTTCATCTCGACTGTATCAACAATATTGATATTTTTTTGTGATCACAGTTTCATGATTTCTGAAAAGGAGACCCATTGCTATTTGTTTCAACAAAATAATCAAAAATCTCACTTGTTATATAATAATAATAATATATTAGTGTTTCAGTTTAAATAAAATTATTATTCTCACTAATATTTTTTGGAATAATATAAGTAAGTTAGTCAAAAAGATCTTAGTTTCTATATTGGATTGGCGCTACACATCTTAATGTTAAATATAAAGTAAATAGGAGTTGATAAAAGTTCAAACCCATAAATCATTTAATCTAATTTCAGAAATCTAAAATAAACATTTATGTAATTCTTTTAGCATATTTTTTGAAGAAAATGATAGATTGAAAAACCAGGGTCACTTTTTGCAATTAAAATTCAGTTAATAGTTATTCTACTTTCATAAATACACAACTGTTGAGTACCTGCGTCATGACTAAGAAAGGTTTCAGGATTAATGATAAAAATTAAGATTGTGTACTTAAAGCAAAGATGAATTATTGACATGAAGTCCTTGGTACTTATGAACTTATCAAACTTGGCTGATAATTAGTTGTACTCGTACATCTGATGCTATAGTGTAAATGAAAAATTTATTAGTTAGAATTTATTTATTAGTATTTGGATATCGTCCCTCATCTTTTTAAAATCAAAGTTAAAGGGACAACCAAGCTAGCACAAATAAAATATTTATTAGTAAATATAATGGATATCGTCCCTCATCTTTTTGAAATCAAAGTTAAAGGGATAACCAAGCTGGCGTAAATGAAATATTTATAAGTACATATATAATGGATATCATCCCTCATCTTTTTGAAATCAAAGTTAAAGGGATATCCAAGCTAGCGCAAATAAATTATTTGTTAGTACATATATAATAGATATCATCCCTCATCTTTTTAAAATCAAACTTAAAGAGATAACCAAGCTAGCGCAAATAAATTATTTGTTAGTACATATATAATAGATATCATCCCTCATCTTTTTAAAATCAAACTTAAAGAGATAACCAAGCTAGCGCAAATAAAATATTTATTAGTACATATATAATGGATATCGTCCCTCGTCTTTTTAAAATCAAAGTTAAAGGGATAACCAAGCTAGCGCAAATGAAATATTTATAAGTACATATATAATGGATATCGTCCCTCATCTTTTTAAAATCAAACTTGAAGGGATATCCAAGCTTGCGCAAATAAAATATTTATAAGTGCATATATAATGGATATCGTCCCTCATCTTTTTGAAATCAGACTTGAAGGGATAAGCAAGCTAGCGCAAATGAAATATTTATAAGTACATATATAATAGATATCGTCCCTCATCTTTTTTAAATCAGACTTGAAGGGATAAGCAAGCTAGCGCAAATGAAATATTTATAAGTACATATATAATGGATATCGTCCCTCATCTTTTTAAAATCAAAGTTAAAGACTAAAAATTCTCATTAATTTGCAATTTTTGCCCATAACATTCTGTGCCATGTGCCTATTACTAACAGTTGTGACTTTATTTCATAAATGCTGTAATTCTTTATCTGTACATTTCAATACCTTCAATTCCCAATCATTAATCATATTAATAAATAATTAATCATAATTGGCCAGATATTTCAATTTAGGTTTTAATAAGTTATATTGCAAAACTTTTTCAGATTTTATATTAAATGGACAAAAACATGCATATGCTATTTAGGCCTATAGGGCATTTTGCTGGACAGAGATATACATCCTTGGTCTAAGGGTAGTCCAATTCATATGACTTTGCAAAGTGAATGTCTGATCTTTAAGGATGAAAGACATAAGCCCCATACACAAAATTAAAGTACACATCATGTCGTGCTGAACATAGAAATTGATTCCTCCAGCCTAATTATTTTACATGTATACAATGAGATGAAAATCACATGACTTAATTTTGTTGACGTTTAAAATTGATGGTTCATTTGCTTTCATATTTGTCTGATTAAAAAGCTGGTGGAACTTTTATAATTAGTTTTATTTATATTAGTGACACACTAATCGCTTGGAAGAACATGTGATACTTGTGAAACAAAATATACTGGGTTGGTGTGAGGAATTGCTTTGTTGGATTTAAAAGGTCCAAATACCTCCATGTTTTTATGTCACCAACAGAAGTGGTGACATTGTAATAGTCTCTTACATTTTTGTGGAAAGTGTTTGGTGGTCGAAGTTCAGTGGTTGGTGTTCGGTGGTTGGTGTTTGTAACAAATGGCAGGTGGTGACATTTTGCATGTTTATGCCTTGTGTCTTTTTGACAGTCTTAGCAGGATTTTTACAGAGTTAGCACCCTAAACCGGCACTAATGTGTCAACAATAGAAAATCACTGAGTATCTATATTCCTCATTCAAACAAGGAAAGTGGATGGATTGAAATGCATATTGTGAATATAATATATTATAAATCCATCCAAGATGTTTAAGGAAAATTGAATTAGCAATTGGTAAGGTAAAATTAAATTAACACATAGGTAAAAATTGAGTAACTTGAGCATCCATTATTTAAGTGCATACATTACATGTTAAACTTAGTCACGAGTAATTATTTGGGAAATATTGATACTTCCTACTTTCAGGAGGAAATTTTCTAATTTTGCACATTGTAAATAATATACTGTACTGAATACAGTCTAGCTCACAAGTGTTTCAAACCTTATCATTTTGATAAATGCCGGTAAGATGGGAGTTTGTTTGATGCATAGAAATGCAATCAACCTAGTGATTTAAAGGAATATTCCTTGCCAGACCCTTTCTCTCTTGATATGGTAGCTATAATCATATATATAGTTTCCATATTTAGCAAAACATGGGAAAATGTTTAAATATGGTCAATATTGATCATTTAAAAATCTAGTGCTTATTTCCAGTGAGCTGCCATCTTTTAAGATTTCTTGCAGGAAGTGATGTCATCAACTCTCAACTTCTATAACCTTGCCCATAACAGTATAGGAAAGTAGCACAAAATCACTTCTAGACAAGTGATCATTACTTTCTGTACAAAAATATTTTCAGGGCTTGTCAACTTAGAATAAAAGAAGAGATTTTCAGAAGGATTAAATAAGATACAAAGTTGAAAAAGAATATTAAGCTGGTTTTGTAATTCTTAATAGCTCCTCACCTAATGCTATATGCAAAGTTGAGAGTCGATGACATCACTTCCTGTGTGAAATTTTAAAAGATGGCAGCTTACTGGAATTGAGCATCACATTTCTAAGTGATCAAATTTGACCATATCAAAACATTTTCGCGTGTTTTGCTAAACATGGCAAGCATATATATGGTTATAGCTACCATATTAGGAGAGAGATGGTTTGGCAAGGAATATTCCTTTAAGTAGAGGTTTCACAAGTGACCTTAGACATGCAATGTTACGCCTTTCTTCACACATACTGACACTGATACTACAATTAGTATAGTAGGAACAAGGGGTTCCCATGCACCCATAAGGTGTGAATAAGTTACATACATTTTTGTAATCACTAGGGTGT